CAAACCCCAGCAATTTTCCATAGTGGTGCATAGCCCCACAATTGTTTCTCTCTTGCAAACTGCACATAAGGGTCCTCAAAGTTAGCTTCTTTAATCTTCCAGAAAACTTTTAATCTACTATTTTCTTCCTGCATATCTTTTATCTGTTGAACAATAATGATACCTGATGAGAAAAATGTTTTTTCGCGCTAAAACTACCTTTAACACTTCTAGTTGACTTATTTGGCCACATTAGATATATGATTTTCTACTTGATAAATCTACGTATTTCGACAGGGGCATTTCTGTCATTTGCACTCGGGGGTGTCGTTGGGGCCACACTTGGGCTTGAAGCGGCCGGCCACTGGTATCAACTGTATAGGTTGGATACAAAGGCTTCACAGGTAAAATTTTACGAGTGGCTGCAGAAAAGGGCTTGAATAGAAGAAGATTACTCTTTGTGTTTGCTTGTCTGCAGAGGGGAAATCATTTTTAGCGATACCAATAATAAATAGCTCGAATATTCGAGAGGGGAAAATATTTATAACCTGATTTGTGGAATTTTTTTCCGTGGGATGTCTGTGTTTGCTATTTGATTGTGTTTGGTATGGACATGTTATGTTCTGCTATGCTGCTTGTGATTTCTTTTAATTTGGTTCTGTGAATTGCAATGTGTGCTTGGGGTTGAATGTGTTATAAAATGCCAAATCTTCTCATTTCAAAGCATTTGTGGCAAAAAAACTATAATGTTCAGATAGAAGGGGCCTACGTTAAGGTCTGCTCTAAAACAATCACTAAACTCAATGTTGTGTATCTCAAAAAACTATATTTGATATATGATATATAAAAAAATTAATAATATTTTTTTTTCAAAGTATATACACACCCACACACACGTATACTGTGTAGGTATATATGAAATTTAAGTTGGTAATTTGAGTTTTATGAATAAAATTTTAGATTTGAACAACAAATTAAATTGACAGAAAAATAATAGTATAAAATAAATGATACATATAATTAAAGAGCACCAAATGTTGACATGTTTTTTTTACACTTTGAATTCCATTACTAAGAAAAACTATGCGATATATAAATAAAATTACAATGAACCAAAAACTGGCTTGTAAGATGATTGAAGCACCAAAAGCAAAATTTCCGATCAAAATATTCCAGATATAAATAAAGTTTTACTCTAACGCATGAGGGAATACATTTTGTAGAAAACTTGAATCACTTTCTAGGTTCTTAAGCAACGAAAATGAAGAAAAAAAATTGACAAATAATCCACCAAACATTCTGCACGCAAACGTGTATTATATATAGTAATAAAAAGAACAAACCCAAAAAAGAGACCCTTTCAAACATTTGTTCAGAATGGGAGACTTAAATTGCTCCAATCCTTACTCCCAATTTGGTCTGATCAGAGATAATTTGCTACATAAACATTCATAAAAAAAACTTCGAAAATGGAATTTTAACATTAAAAGTATCATTACATTACATACAACTATTTTTTCCCAGTGTCCAAAAGGAGTACTTTCCTTTACTGAAACCCTCATCGGAAAATGAAATATTCGACTCAATCAACAGCAAAGCATCGGTTTTTGGACGGAAGTTCACCTGATAGCAACAGGCAATCAATCGGTCAAGAATAATTTTAATAACTGATCAAAATTCGAATAAATGCAATAAAGGCAATGTTCCAAAAACTGCTATTTATGCCACATTTTTTTTTTCAGCATCGAAAGACGACGCAATTGTCTTTAATAGATCTTACAACAAAGCATCATGTAGAGCAATAATGTCAGATTAAACCGAACAGTTAAGAGCTTCAAAATGTCCAAAAGACGAAGCAAAATCTTATATCTGATTCACTCTGCAAGAAATCTAAAAAAGTAAAAACAATGGTTCATTATAATAACTGAGTCATCACACCCCACTGAGTTTCAGACAATTCAAAATCGCAAAAGATCATCGATAGTTCCTCACTCAAAATTGAACGAGGTGTTTCTAACACTTCAAAATAGGTGTTTAGTTTCTTTTTTCTTTGGCTCTATCTCATGGATAATTTCTATAATAATAAAACAAAACACTTACCAATAAAAGCAAGCATCCCAAAATAAGACAGCTTAATTGAGAACTCACTGTAATTCTGAACTAGCGGCAGCCCTCGGAACTTGTGATGATGTGTCCTCACTCAAACTCAAATTGCTCGACTCAATTGCTTGGTGTTCAGTAGCATTTGTACTCGAGCTATCCTCGAGATTTATCGACACAGAAGCATTACTAGCTCTACCAACTTCAGCTATTTCAAGATGATCCATCATACGGGACACAGTGGCCACCTCTTGACGAACTTCAGTAGTTGGGGGCATTTCGGGCGTTGAGTTATTTCGAGCAAAAAGTCTCTCCTTCCAACCCCTTGTGCTCTTAGTGATCGATTCTTTGTATCTGTTGAAAAAAGAATGAAGAAATTCAGTAAAGTTATCATCTTTAGTATATACAAGCACTGTTATTTTCTATCTAATCCACTGTCTTTTATATTTTATTTAGTTTTTTACTTCTTTTTGTTTGTGGACAAATGGGTTCTCCAATTGGTAGTCAAAATAAGTGATCAATTAATAAGCAACACAAATTCTGTTAAAAAAGAATGAAGAAATTCAGTAAAGTTATCATCTTTAGTATATAAGCACTGTTTTTCTATCTATTGTCTTGTATATTTTATTTATTTTTTTTTTCTTTTTGTTTTGTGGACAAACGGGTTCTCCAATTGGCAGTCAAAATAAGTAATCAATTAATAAGCAGCACAAATTCTGTTAAAAAAGAATGAACAAATTCAGTAAATTTACCATCTTCAGTATATAAGCACTGTTTTTCTATCCACTGTCTTATATTTTATTTAATTTTTTACTTCTTTTTGTTAGTGGACAAATGGGTTCTCCAATTGGTAGTCAAAATAAGTGNTTAACATATTACAAAAATGGTCCAAGTATTGTTCAAAATTACCTATATCACCCCTTTGATTCGTCAAAAGGAGTGTGTACACTGAAAAAAGTTGTTTCCTTTTTTACTTAGTAAACCAACAGGATAATTACAAAAGGAGCACTCTATAAATATCTGTCTTGCATATTTGACACCTACTTTATACATTTTTTTAAGTGCCTCAATTGTTCTAAACATCACAAAGTATCTCCAATCGAGTATTTAATTTATCAAAAACTTCCATTGAACTTCTCTGATTGTGGTAAACAAAAACTTGGGTCTACTTAAAATGTACTCAGAAAAACTGAAGGTGGGTGTAAGAATAAAACATTTGATAAAAACCAGCATTTTTCATACTCCAATAATGCCAACCATCGATTGGGGGTAAAATTGTAATTACGGAACCAAACCTCAAGAAGTGTTTTTTTTTTTTGTAAAAATATTCCGAATTGTGCTTATCCTACATGAATTACCTATAGCCAGAAGAAGTTCCATGTTCATTTGCCACTGTTTGGACAGGTGAAGGTGGCCCAACGGGCCGTGAAGCATCTTCACCTGAAATAACCAAAGGAGAATTCGGGCCAGCTATCATCACAGCAGGAGGCCCAAAACTCCCTTCTCTCTCTTGCGTATGGGCCGAGGCAGGAGAGGGATTATTTCCATTAGGATTAGTCGAGAAAACCAAGAATTGAGGCCGAGCTTGAGCAGAGGATCTGTGGGGCCCACCCCTCCGTGCCAGCTGGCGGGCCCGACCCATTGCGGCAGCTGCCGCTAAGTGCTGAATAATTCTTTCCTCAAGTTCGGATTCGGTTGCATTAACCGGTAACTGCACCAATAAATTTCGAATAAATTCTTTTTATTTTTTTTCCGAACAACAATGATTGTGTTTTTTTTTTTTCCTAAACTGTGTGGAATTGTGTTCAGTTTATCTTTTTGGGACAGAGGTAGTCATAAGTTGTAACAAACGAGATAAATACACTTTTTGTTTCAATTTTAGCACTTTTGACCGCATAATATACAATATGAGGTTTGATATATAAGAGAACAGCATTAAAAATCTCTGATCATAATTGATTTTGCACTTCTCTTTGATATAGAGCCAAAAAAATCTTCTATTTGAAACCCCCCATCACAATAATCACCAGAACACAGAAAAATAAACTAATTCGAGTTGAATCAAGTGCAAGAGGACTTTCTGATGGGCTAAAAATTCAAAAATAATGAAATTTTCTCTAAAACAATGAACGGAAGAGCATATATAATTTTCAGAAATTATTTGTAATTATCCCCAAAATGGAATAATGAAAATAAAGGGCAAGCATAAGAATAACCAAGCACTAACATGCTGCAACTCAAAGTCTCCAAGAGTTGGATGGTGAAATATAGTGGTATTTCTTGGTGGATTCATACGCATATTCCTCTCATGCTCAACAGCATCAAGCAGTTCTTGGCTGCCACACAAAGCAGAGAATAAGAATCCCACAACAAATAAAACCCGTAAAAATATGACGTGAAATCTTTGTAAGAAAAATAAATAAATAAATTGATTTAAGAACTTACCTGCTTGGATCCTTCAAGCCGATGGACTGCCAACACATCGGACACTGCGAGCTTCTCTGGCACCTATGGTTTTAATAAACTTAATAATTAATAATAATTGCTTCATCATCACACAAATGCTCAATTCTAAAACTTTAGATTGTTAAGATCCACATACAAGGTTAAAAAGATAAAAATAAATGAAAAAACAGACAGTTTTCTTGGGGTTGAACATGTTCGCAAGATTTCGAGCCTAATATAGAATATGTTCGCAAGCTTTCGAGCCGAACATTGCCGGGCTCAAGCTCCGCACATTTGAAATTTTAATTCGAGCTCAAGCTCAGTTCATTTAGCTTAACACGCGATCCCAAACGAATATTTTTTTCGATTTGAAATCCAAACCTTGAACAGCTCTACTTATTTACAGCCCTATATAAGCGTTCCACGTTTAGTAACATGATGTTCACCTTGTGCATATAACTTTTCATTGCGCCTTATATATGGCAACATAGCTTTATCAATTTTGTAGTGCATAGTAATATTTAGGCACCACAATGTACTAGCAGATAAGACAATACAAGTATCTTGAGCTTTCGAGCATTTGATAATTATGTTTTTCTATTATTACATACTGATATGTAATCTGAAAATAAATAAATACACACACGAACACACATGCATACAATAGACACCATATAGTGATAATAATAAAATGCAATATAAGAAAAAAAAATCATAGGAAGAAGTGTGAACACTTTCTCACCATTCAAGAATGCATTGAAGATGAAATTCATGTTTGCAACTCGTCACCTGCAATAATTAATTTTGATCAAGTGATAAATTAGGTTAAGTCTCAATTCGAAATTACCAGACAACAATAAACATTATAAGTACCGTGGAAGGATCACTATCACAAAAAGCTTCGAGGCAAATACTACAAGCATCATCACATGCTTCTTGAATTCCTCCTTCGACAAAAGCAGCAGCAGAAGTCAAGCTGCTCTCAGAGACTTGCCCCTTTTCCATCTGGCAAAACAAATGCAAATCTTTTTATTTATAAAAAAAAAAAAGAATAAAAAAAAGGTTACTGATAAAAATTCAGTATTGAGGCACTTCAACTTTTTTACATAACTGAACTTGATGAATAAATAAGAAGAAGAAAAACGGGGGGCTGGTGGATGATATTCAGTTGTCAAAATCAAAAGTTTTTAGCTAAATGGAAAGATCTATCAAAATTCTAGATACATACATACATTCAATTACTGGAGTGAGAAAGATCGAATCAGAGCAATTTAATGCATTTTTGCCAAGAGGAGCTATCCAAGAAAAAAAACTTGTGTAACAGCAGAAAATTGGAAATCGAAGAAACTTTGGGGACCTTAAGCATCTCCTTTAACTTTTTTTCTTAAAAGCCATACCTCAGATGATTTTCCAGGTAGTTCAAGAGCATTGGATATGCCACTGGATGTTGAACTCTGTAAAAACAAGCTCTTCAAAGATTAATAAAGTGTCATCTTACAGAACAAAAAAAAAATTGTAACCTTCAGCAACTAATCCAAAGCACTCCAAAACATATCAGGACAGAATCAATTTAACTAATTATAGTGATTAAGCTTCATTTCAAGAGGGTATCGACTAAAATGAACGCACAAACATTAGAGTTTGATAGAACTTCAAGCCAACCCACACCCCAGAAGAAAAAATCAACAACCCAGTCAAGACTTAGAAGAACCCATTTAAAAAACTAGAAACTTTAATGAATCCCTTTCATATTATTGTTCAATTGTTTTAATCGCCCAAAAAATAAAAAGACAATCTTTTACACAGCTCAACAGCTGGTTTTGCAGAAAAACACTGTCAAAGAATGAATTCATACGAACAGAAAGGTAAACCGACAAAAACCCATCAAATTTACAGCGTCAAAAACATCAAGAACAAAAGAAAAAGAGGAATTACCATGATAAGACTCTTCTGAGTTGTTTCTTGCTGGGTTGAAATCCAAGAAAACTCACACAACAACAGCAGATCAAACAAAGTCTAGAGCAATTGGATAAAGGAAGAATTGTTACAGTGTGTTGAGGAAGGAGATGGCGAGAGATGGAAACAGATTACACACTTTTGATGAGGAATTTGGGGAGAGAGAGAGAGAGAGGAAAAAATGAGAATAGCAATAAGTCTTGTGGACTTTTCCTTTTTGTTTTTCTTCACAATATGTCCCTTTTTCTAGTTCCTCTTTTACTTTTGTTTTCCTTTTTTCTATTTATTTAATTTACTCGCTACTTTTCATTTGTACCATACTAGACATTCATCTTGATTAGTATTCGACTTAATACTCATCTAGCATATATAAAAAAAATATTTACATCTATAGTTATGAAATAAAACTTAAATTTATTATTAAAAACTAATAAATACAATTATTTATTCAATAGTTATTTTGTATATGTTTTATTACGACGTCTATAAATAGAATAATTCATCTAATATAGGATATAATACTTATTAAAAAATATTATATCATTTTATTCAAAATATATATACATGTTTGAAATAATCAACTACTCCAAGTCTACAACCTAAAATTGTTTGACATTTTATGTATGAATTTAAAAATATTATATTATTAATGTACGGGGAGTATCATTATGCTACAATATGAGTTGAGCTAATACCAATTTTATTTTTTATATATTCTTTTTTCATGATTCTCACATTTAATATTTTTATTTATCACTTTAAACAAATATGTTTATTTTAACTTAGAATTTCCGTGTGAAACACACACGTGTAACTCTGTATATTTGCTTGGTCTTCCACTAGCTAGTAGGTACAGTAGTGACACGTGTGGGGAAGAGATGATATTCTCGAGTGTTTGCTCAACCACTCCACACCGTTAAGCGAGTGAAGAAATCGTTTTTTTTTTTTTTTCTCGAACAATAACACTTTTATAAAACTAAAAACCAAAACTAATTATGATTTTGAAAAAGTTGGTATTGTAGTGGTTACTAAAATTTTGAATTTATATTAAAATAAAATAATTAAAGTAATTTAATATAAAAATCAGATGAAGATAATGTAAAGTGGCAATTAGTTAAAATTATGTGATTAAACGAACAGTGAATTAATATTGACGTAATATGTAAGAATGATTGATTGATATTATTTAGTTATACTGATAATATTGAAAATATTGAAGTTGAGTTAAAATTAAACTAAATTTTGAGTATGAATTGCTAACTAGGCCTATAAACGAGCCGAGTTGAGCCCGAGCTCAGAGTACTCGAGCTCTTAACGAGTCGAGCCGAGCTCGGCTCGTTTATCACTAATAACGAGTAGAGCTCGAGCCTTAACGAATCGATCTCAATTTTTAACGAGCCCAATTATAGATATTATATAAAAATTCTCTTATCGAGCCGAGCCGAGCTTGACTCGTTAACCAAACGAGCTTTAAATAAGCTCGAGCACGACTCGTTTATCAAACAGATCGAACCGAATTCGGGCCTTAACCAGTCAAGCCAAGCCAGACTCGTTTAATTTAACAGCACTATTGATAACCAACCAATACATGTCCAGCAGCAAGTCACAAATCCAGTTTCAACATTAAACTAGTCTTATAAACACTAGTAAATGCTCATCATATCCAAAATTAGCCCCCAAGAAGCCCTCTTGCAGCTGCTTAAACATATTTTTTTCCCCCTTTATCCCCTTTTTTTTAATTTTTTCCCTCTCTTAACTAGTTCAATTTTCATGCCTGGCTTTAGTGGTAAGACCAAACCCGAACTCAAAAAGCGGGTCGTAATGCGGGTCCCCAACATTCATGGGCAGCTGATCCACCGACTTGAACCAAGTTCGAGCGAGCTTCCCTCTAAACCCATAGTCCCCAAACAAGACATCAGCCAGGCCCAGCCCACCTTCGCTCCCTGGAAGCCAAGCGGCCACAAGCCCATCTATATGCTCAAGATAGGGCTCCATCACAATGGGCCGGCCCGAAACAACAACCACAACACACTTAATGGCACCACACACGTTTTTTATGGTGCTTGGGCCGGGCTCGATCATGGTGAGGTTGGAGCTGTCCCCATACATCTCGGCATATGGGGCCTCGCCGACTACAACAATTGCGTAAGAAAAACCCCCGTTCTTGACGAAATTTGAATCGGGATTTTCCGAGTAGACGACTTGCGTGGAAGGCTCGACTGCGCTTTTCACGGCGCTGAGTATTGTGGTGCCTGTAGATATTAGATGCATGTAAGAAATTGAAGAAATTTAATTTTGGCAAAGCAATGCATTTTTAATCTTGTTAGTTTAATGTCATAGCAATTATAGTCCCAAGGTTCTAACTTTTCAACTTTTGGTCCTATAATATAATATTTTGGTGCAATTTGAATCCTTCAAGGACTGAAATTGCAACAAAATTTTTTAAACTACAGGACTTAAATTGTTAATCGAAAATCTAGAATTTTGGGAATTTATTGCAATTTCAGACCAAAATTGTAGCAAAATATTAAATCACGGGACTAAAAGGCGAAATGTTGGAACCTTGGGACTGAAATTGCTATGGCGCTAAACCAGTAGGACTAAACATGCAATTTTGCCATTTATTTTCTAGTTAGTGAATTTTGAGCTTGACAAGCTTCAAGGATAGAACTAAATATTGATAAAGATTAAACTTTTCATGGAGTTTTCCAATTACCAACTGTAAGATCATTGCCCGGAACACCTTGCCAATCGATAGTCCATCCTCCACATTGATACCCCAAGTTATCCGCGTGAGTCCCAGCAACTAGAACTTTCGGCACTTTCTTTGAAAGGGGCAGCAATGGCCGATTAGCTCTTTTGCCGTTCTTCAAAAGGACGAGCGATTTTCTCACAGCTTCTCTTGCCAAGTCCCTATGTTCCTATAAACAAAAATGCAGTTCATACAATTAGTAAAAATACTCTTCTAGTTTTGAATTGATCTTTTATATCAATTTACATTGGTCCCCTTCATAAACAAAAAAACCTTTTGCAATTATCCCTAGGAAGAATATAGAGCCAAAATAAAAAAAATAAAAATAAAAAAATAAAAAATAAAAAGGATAACCGGGTTGCCGAGTTTGTTTGCTAGGCTTAGATCAGCTATAGGATCCTCAAATAAACCCATGGTGAATTTGACTCTTAGTATTCTTCGAACGGCATCATCTATTCTGCTCATGGGGATGATTTTGTTCTTCACTTGGAAAGTCAGATCATCGATAAATTCTGTGAAATTCTCGGGAAGCATAATCTGAAAGAAAGAAATGAGTAAATAACTAACTAACTAACTACATTAGAAACTAAGTATTAATAATAAGATAAGCATATGGTCATATAATAGTTCTTTTTTTTTAAGTGCATTATATTATAATCAACTTATCAACTTAACCATATCAATTCCTGCAAGAATTCCAGCTTGAACAGAATAAGAATAGTTCGAATGTGGCGGGCTTGTGATCCTATCAATACCCTGCCAATCTGATATAACAAATCCCTACATTCATAAACCCGAAACTAGTTAAGTCACTATTAATAGAAAGTTGGTTCCTTTCTTGAACATGTCAACTAAAAAAATCAAGAAAAAAATAAATAAATTTGATGTTGTTGTTAGTTACCCTGAATTTAAGTTTATTCTTAAGAAAGCCCGTTACAAGTTCTTGATTTGCGTGCATCTTTTTGCCGTTCCAGCTCGAGTAGGACACCATAACAGTGGCCACACCTTTACTAATCGAGTCGAAATATGCGGGCATGTGAATGCTCATCAAACCTTTATAGTCGATTACCGTATTGTTTTCGTCAATCCCGTTAACCGTGCCACCATCTCCAACAAAATGCTTCGCACAACCGGCAACTTTGGTCCTTTGGTAAAAAAATAAAATAAAATAAAAAGGAAAAAATATTAGGTAAATTAAAATAATTGCATTTATTTTGAGAGAAACTTTCTTGAATCCATGTAACATTTTAAATTTTTTTTTTAAAAAAAAAAAACTTACTAATATTCCTTGCACCAAATTTACACACACACAATGAAAAATACATTTGCATTTCATGAGTTTCAAGTTTTTTGGAGGCATTTTTTACATGTTATCCAGGAATATTAAACTAAAATTAGTGCAAACTAATATAGATATAAATAATATAGATCTTACTTTCCGGGGGTGACAAAAGGAACGTTCTTTCGAGCATTAGACGGGAGTTCACCCTGTAAACCAGGTATAATCTCGGTCATGACTTGAACAATTTTATGATCCTCACTATAACTTTCATAACAACGACCCCACCTCGGATCTCTACACACCTGTAAGAAAGAAAAATAAAAAAAAAATGGAAAATAAGGACTAAAAGAACACGACTAATTAAAACACTAGTATGTGGGCTTTGAATTATTTCTTACAGCAATACAAGGCGAAAAGGCGTATTGAATTCCTGTGGCTCTAACTTCAAGTGCAGTTGCAGCTCCAATTCTCTTCAAAAGATCGGGATCTCTGCGTAAAATGCATAAAAAAAGAAAATAATAAGAATACTGCTAGAAATTTCAATTTTTCAAATTATTGCACCATTTGACTTAAACAACTGCTTGAAGAAAATATATTGACAATCATAAAACAAGATATATCTCATAAGATCAAGCTAAAAGTCAAAAAGGGATGCAACACCCTTGCATAGTAAATAAATACAACTTCAATAGAATTTGAACACGAAAAAACAGAAATAATTATCTAGCTCAACTAAACAAGACAAAAATAAACCCTCTTCCAAATTCCAATACCCTTGCCTCAATGCAAATATTTAAAAATAAAAATAATGTCCATTGATTTACAAGAATCAATCACTTCTAGAGTACATACTATTTCACACACACAACCAAATAAAATGAAGAAGGAGCTCTTTTCAAATACTTAGATATTGAAGAAATCGCGATTTATACTTGCCTGGTGACTCCAAGGCCAACATTGTGAGGAAAAATAGTAGCATTATACACATTGTTGTGGCCATGAACAGCATCAATGCCATAAATCATAGGGATTCCTAAGCGAGTAGAAAGGGAGGCTTTTTGAAAATCATTCACCATATTCACCCAATCCTCTGGTGTAGCTTTGGGAGATGGTACACTTCCTCCACCACTCAACACACTCCCTATCAAAACAAAACCATATCATTTACTTTTCGTTGAGATAATACATAGGATACCAAGCTAAGCTTCTTCTTTCTCAGTAGGAATTCAAAATACACTCCCTCGTTCAAGAAGATTAAAAATACAGCCTTTTTTCACTGATTGAACGAAGAAATGCAAACCCCACAAACCCATTTCACCAAATAAAGAAGGAATTTTGACAAACACAAGAAAAATCTCATCAACTTGCAAAACCCACTTTGTCACACCCAAAAATCAAGAACTTCTCTTATTATTCTAACAAAATAACCCAAAATCATATAAACCAATTTCACCCCACTAGAAAAGAAGCAAGATACAAAAAATACAAGATTTTGACAAATTCCCAAACAAATTAATAAAAAAAAAATGCATTTTTTTTTCTTACCAATGTAATACTTCTTCATGATATCAGGAGAGGCCAACTTCCTCTCAATCTGAGTCATCTGCCCAATCTTCTCTTCGAGGGTCATTTTACTCATCAAGTCTTTGATTCTAACACCAAGGGGCTGTTTGGGATCTCTGTATTTCGTGTATTCAGCCTCTGCAAAAGCAGCCCACAACATAAGACAGCTTAAAAGCAACAAGGGCTTCAAAAATGGCCGTTTAGTCTCCACCCCCATTGCCGCTTTTCTTACAAAACCTCTGTAACTCTGTTTCTACTGCCAAAATAGCAAGAAAATGGTGAGAGCACGCAAAATAACAGCTAAAAGCGAAAAAAAATAAAAAAATAAAAATGTACAGGCTTGAAATGAACAAGAATGTGTACACACATCATATGAATGCCTCAAAACGCCTTACCAGTCTGTGACCAAACACTGCTCAATGGTTGTGTTGTGTATGTATAGGTGTATATAATGTGATGTGCCGAAGCCGAACAGTAAACGTGGGTTTGGGAGATTCTCCTACAAATCTGCAATCCTAGATAACTTTTCAATTATTTTAATTTTTTGTGCAAGTCAGTTTTAAAGTTTAAACAGTGTCCGTGTGACCAAAAATGTTAATTATATCATTAAATTTTATATCTTTACTAATATTTTTTAGAAGTACAAAAATTTATTTATTTAAACTTCTCTGTGATAGGACTTAGGCGAACTATCAATTTTATCGGATTATGGTATTGTAGTATTAACATTTTTAAAAAATGACATTGGATATATATTTGTTGGTTAAAAGTTTTTTGGCTTGGTCAAAAAACATAATGGAGGGATTACTTTTTTTAAATATAAATTGATGTGATATAAATAAATGTTAATTAATTGTGATGTGATAAAAAGATGGTAAAATAGTGTTTGGTAGTTACAAATATATGAGTGAAATAAATTTTAATAGATACATGTATAATAATGATTTGAATTTTAATTTGAAAAATATGAGTACTTAAAATAGAAAAATAATATAAATGAATAGTATATTTTATTTATTCGTTACATGTAAGTTTAAGTATGTATCCACTTGCATCCCTAATACGGTTTTTTTTTTTAATGTCGTGTGAATAATTGTGAAGCGTATATTATTACTACTATAGCTCTTGGAAAATGAAATAATTATGTCGTGTAAATAAAAATGAAGACTTATATTATCAAATGTCATACTTATTTGCACAGTAATTTTTAAAATATGATAGTTTTTAATAAAAGTGTGTACATTTGAGAAACAAGTAGTCCGTTTAATGGTTAAGTCTGATTAACACATGACGAATCATTGATACATTAATTTAAGCTTTGGTCTTTAAGTTGAAAGTTCAATGGACTGCGAAAAAATTATAAAATTTGATTTAATTTTCTTTTTTTAAAAAAAATAGCACTCTTTATAACTTTATTTGTATTTAGGCATGTAAACGATTCGAGCCAAATTCGGCCCATTTATCACTATTAATGATTGAATCTCAAACTTTAACGAATCAAACTATAAAAATTATATAAATATTTCTTTTTTAAACTTTATCGAGTCAAATCAAACTTGTTTTGTTAACCAAACAAATTTTAAATGAGCTCGAGCCGAATTCGAACTTTAACTAGTCCAACTGGTTTAATATTTTAACACACTATTCGTATCTTACACTTATCCAATGTGAATTTTTTCGGTTTTGGTGAATAAGATAGTGTGTGGGTAATGAAACTTTTTGAGGCCTTCGAGAAAACAACACACACGAACGACTTTTTCTAACTTTGCGCACGTCACCACCAAACAAAATCGCCGAAAAAGAGTTCTGATTGTGTATGGGGTGCAACGAGCCAACGACTGGTATTTTATTTTCTCTATTATAAATATTCAAAATTAATTTAATCTCACAATTAGTATGGTAATTATCCAATCAATTAATCTTCGTTTCTAAATTTGGTAATTTATAATGTTTTGCATCAAAATCAGTGACCGTTGGTGGGTAGGTTTCAAGGAAGTGCATATTGTGATACTTTTTCAGTTTATTATTTTTAAATTGAAATATTATATTATAATAAATAACATACTAAAATGTTATATTATACAAAATAACATGAATGCAAATATAATTTTGTAGCACACAAAATGTCATATTACAAAAAATAATATAAATAGAAGTATAACATTTCGTAACATAAATATGTACTTTTATTAAAAAGTAACTAGTACAGTACCCGTGCGATGCACGGGATGGTATATTTTCCTGAAATGTTTACCGTGTGAAATATTAAAAATAATATAATTTATATATATGTAATAAAAATAAATAGATTGCAAAGAAGGAAAAAAAATATAAATTATTGAACACTTTCTTTGTGAAGTAAAATTTGTGAAGGTTTGGTATATTTGATTATGAATAGAAAAGTATGAAATACTACCTGCGGACTGTTGAGATAGATGAGAAGATTTACTTAGAATATATAGCATAAATATTGAGATAATGATTTACCTTTTACCTAGTATAGATAAAATAAATATTGATATGATGTGGGAAAATTATGACGAATTATGACATAAATTCGTTTAGAAAATATTCAAAAATTAGATTTATTTTTTATTTTTTAAATCTTTACAGTAATTCGTACGTTCCTTTTCATACGCTTAATTTATCAATTTTACACATACAAATCAAAATTAATGCAACTCGAAATATTATATAACAAATAAAATGAGATTTTTATCTAACATTTAGTATATTGCCGGAAAATTTTTTATAAATCTTATTCTCTTTTTATGCACATAGATATTAAAGAATGAGTAAAAAAAATATCTAAATATGTTTAAAAGTATCTAATATTATATGTGTTAACAGTGTTACAACCAAAAGACATTAAGAATACGCAGACTATTATATAACATATGTGAAAGTATTAAAATATTTTATATTATTATTGAAAAATGTGAAATTACCTCAATTTTGTCTAGACTATTTTATAAGAAAAATATATATACTTAAAGTTAGCACACACATATATATATATCCTTAAAATTTGCCCAACTAACATGTTTAAAAGTATATAAAATTTTATATATAAAATACGTTTAAAGTTTACATATTTTACAAAAATTAGACTGCTCTCAGTTTATATAAAGTTTGTTGCTCTCATATTCGGATAATGTATTATGCATTTAATGAAAGCACCTACGATACAAATTTATAAATATTAATTAAAATAATTTTCTAAATTATATAAAATTGAAATAACAAAGGTAAATATTACCTGTTCATCGTGAAAATGCGTTACAGCTCTCCCGTTCGTGATGGGTTTCAATAATGCGGACTGCTCTCAGACGCAAAAAAGGTTTGTTATAAATATTAATTAAAATAATTTTCTAAATTATATAAAATTGAAATAAAAAAGGTAAATATTACCTGTTCATCATGAAAATGCGTTATAGCTCTCCCGTTCGTGATGGGTTTCAATAATGCGGACTGCTCTCAGACCCAAAAAAAGGTTTGTTTCTTTTGTTAACGTACCCAGTCTGGAAGCATTATATATCAAGTTTACCCCAGCCTGGAAGCATTATATTGTATATGCGATGAAAAATTATTCTCTGTATTTTTTTTTTCTCTGAACTCGTGAATGATGAGTTGTACTGGTGGTAGTGAATATCCTTTTATACAATTTTTTATTAACAAAAGTGATAAGATAATTATGGATTGTATTTGGATAGATTTTAAATACCATGATTTTTGGGATGCAACAACAAAATATGCAATAAGATGTATATATCTTATCACGTTAAAGGTATATCCATCCCTAAAAAACAGGAAAAAAAAACTATATATTTTGAAAGGATTTTTAAATTAGTTTCTACAAATGGAAAGTCAATGGGGTTGTTGACCAATTTTTTAAAAGTTTCCACAAATGATTTATTGACCTCTCTTTTTCAATATATATAGATAATCGTTCTACCCGTATGACTATTACATGTCCTATGAAAAATTCCATATATGATATTTCTCTTCAATTTGCAAAACATATAAAAAAATATGAAGGTGAGATTTGTACGTAGTAGAATTTTGTATATGGTTTTTTCATTTGAAATCTCTGCAAATATTAAAAAATGTTTGCAAATACTAGTCTCAAATAAGTTAAATACTTCATAATTTTGTAAGACTTTTTAAAATCTCAAATTAATACCTCGATACTTTAAAAAAATTTTTAAAAAGTTTAAATTAAATACATCAGTATTTTTAAAGTATTTAAAAAATTCAAAAGAATACGCTTGCTTTTCACCGTGAGGCCCTACCAATTGAACTACGAACCTCTAACATGTGAGACATTACTCTTCAAATGAAATTTAAGACATGAGGTCTTCATTGTGAGGCCTAACAATTGAACTATAAAATTCTAACATGTTAGACATTACTCTTCAAATGAAATTTAAGACTTATTTGAGGTTTATGGTCAATACTTTGGGGGGATTTATATTGTATCAAGTATCAACCATCAAATAAAGTCATATTGCACAACTCTAACAAATTCATGTGATTTCCTCACTTTCTATCATCAATGTATTGTCCCCGGCCTTCGTTTTACAGAGCAATATAACGAATACTCCTTTAAGATGTGTGAAAAGGATTAGACCCAAGTTGTTATCAGTAGCCAGTCTGTTGGGCTTACATTTATCCCATGTTTCACTGATATGGCATGGCTTAGCTTTGATGAGCATAGATGTACATGAGTGAGTCTTTGATGAGACTATAGTCATTGATGTGGCTAGAGATGTGACATGATTTTATTGTTTATGTTCATGCTGCGACCATACCATTATTATGTTATTCATATGCATAGTGTGAGTACGATAGTTAACTGTACTCACTCCCACCTGCTCGTAACTGATGCAGGTTAAGCAGTCGGCGGGTGACGAGACAAGACGGGTGGTGGTCATGCTTTTATTTATCGCTTATTTATTTGCTTCCGCTCATTTATGTTGAGATATTATGACTGTGTCGTTCTGAACTTGGAATTGTGATTTATCTCTATGATTTGGAACTTAATGAATGCCAGTTTGGTTTATGATTTATTATTTGTGCATGCTGTCTTTATTTGATACGTTTGCATTTTTGGTTAAAGGCTTTTGGTAAATTTGAGTAGCGCTCACTGAGTATTTAATTAAATTAAAGTTTGCGAAAAAGTTATTGTGATTTTTATTAAATAAATTCGATAAATCCTTTAAAATAAAGTGGGGCGTTACAGAGTGAGTCAAAGTCAACTGGAGGCGGACAACGTCATACCCCGAGGTCGGCACCTCAGCGCTCCCGTTATGGAGCCGACCAGCTCGGATATGGGGTCTGGAAGACCGGAGGACGGGCAGACTGTCATAGCCCAGCTCGAGACCCTACCTCCTTGGCCCTCGTAGGGGTTAAAGATCCAGAAAACAATTAAATGAGGCCACTTGTCAATCAATGATTGCCGATGGGACATCCCAGACTAGCCTGCAGGTCTAGGACGTCTAGCCCGGCCGAGGAGCATGTCCGCATTAAATGCAGCCCATACCAACATTAAATGCGTTGCAGGTAATGATTGGAAGATCCCTAAATCACTCCCAATCAATCAGAGAAACGCTGGCCTGTCTTGCCGAGTTACTGTACGACAAGACCCATGAACAGTACCCGAACAGTATCACATTTAAGAACCCTATAAATAGAAGTCTTGAGCATTTATTTTGGGTTGTTGAATCCCAACTGTCTTGACTCTCTCTACATTTTCTCTCTCTAAACTTGTAAGAAACCTCTGTAAGGATTTGTAAGGATATCGCAAGTGTCGACCTCGTACGAGAGGCCGACCTCGTGATCGATTAATAAAATCATAATTAAATCGTATTTCTTTGCCTTTTCCTCATTACCTTTTCATTATTTATCTTTTTAACCGTTGACCGGAAACGCCCGTCAACAGTTAGTATGGTACACAAAATAAAAAAAATAAAAAAAAAAAAAAAGGAACTAAAAGATAATTTAAAATATTACCACAGCCAAGTCAAAGTATTTATGGCGTACTTGATTACAAATATATTTGGTCAAAATGAGTTTTTTGGGGAATAGGGTTAGGGCGTGCTTGAATACAAATACATCCGATCAAAAGGAATTGTTTTTGTTAACTATGGTTGATTTTGAAAAAAAGATAGTTGTTAGTGAGGTTTGAATTCATATTAAATAATATTTAAAATAAAATAAATAAAGTTAATTTGTATAAAAATATGAGAGAGACTATGTAAAGTGATGTTTAGTAAAAATTATGCGAGTGAATAAAAGTTAGTTAAAATGGATATGATGTGTAAGCATGAATGATTGATATTATTTAATTATATTGATAGTATTGATGATAGTGAAGTTGGGTTAAAATTGAGTTATATTTTGAGTATGGTTTGAGTATAAATTGAGATAATTTATAAACAAATACACCTTTAATTGTGAAAATTGTAGTATGATTAATTGTTAGTGAGATTGTGACCATATATTAAATTATATTTATAATAAAATAATTAATGTAGATTTGATGTAAAAGTACGTGCGAGATAATGTGAAGTGATAGTTAGTTAAAATTATGTGAGCGGATGAATAGTTAATTAAAGTTGCTGTAAGATATAATAATGATTGATTGATATTATTTAATTATATTGATAATATTAAGAATAGTGAAACTGGGTGTATAATAATGATTGATTGATATTATTTAATTATATTGATAATATTAAGAATAGTGGAATTGAGTTAAAGTTGAGCTATATTTTGAGTATAAATTGAGTATGAATTGAGAAAAAACACACCCTTATAAGTCCTATTGATACACAATTTGTCAGACCTAAAATAAATATGGCACCATCATTAGACCAGTGCATGCATCTTCCCCTTAGTCCAAATGACTAGGGGTATTCTAGCCAGAAAGAAAGACGCCGATCAGGAAGACATCATTAAACCAACCTCATTCTCAACTACGAGGAGGCATACACGTCGAGCTCTTCCAGAAGGAATGTCGCCCTCACTCGATCTCATCCCGTCCGAGCACAATCCTAAATAAATATAAAACGGGTTACTGCCCGGAACTAGTTCCCACAGCCTAAAGAGATAAGCCACTTGCTCAAGTTGTCGAATACCTGTCACCATGTATCCAATTAGAAGCTGCCACTTGTCATGAAGAAATAATATTTTAATGGCTTCTCATTCTATAAAAAGAGGGGTCCGAAGGTCTTGAATATCATTAACAATTCCGAAATGCCCCTAAAGAGAACAAGTTATGTTGTAATCTCTCTTTTGACTCTGAACTTTAATTTGCATTTCTTGTCCTTCCAGCCTTTAAAGGTTCTGTATACAAAAGCGGCCCTAGAGAGAGCCACTCTATCGATAAAAATTGTCGGACAAACGTCTTAAATCGTCGGCAGAGACGAATCATATATTTCTCTTTGTTTTTCCTATGACCACGTTAAAATCAATCTTAAAATTTTATAACGATTCTCGAGTTTATGAAGTTTGGCGGTTTGACATTGAGATGAATACTCGACGTCAGCGAATTTTGACATATGATGTCCCGAAAGATTTTATAACGTGTAGTTGTAAAAAATTTGAGTTTGAAGGGTATCCTTGTCGACACATGCTATGTTGGATGAGGGTTGAACAAGTTATGTTAGTACCGGAAAGTACGTGAAGAAAAGGTGGACGAAGAATGCCAAGAGTAACCTCATTTATGATATACCATTTAATTTTGAAGTAGGTGAATCTTTGCATAGTAAACATGGGGTGCTTATGAAAATAACGAGAGAACTCATCGATGATGCATCGTTGACTGAGGCAAGAAGCAAGTTTCTAATGGAAAAGCTCAAAGTTTTGAAATGGAGGTTGGTGAGATTGATGAAAAAGAATGCATGAGAAAGCGATTGTGTAACAACAAAGGCGAGAAGACAATTCTTGTATGCGACCTCGAGCCTATACGAACTAAAGGTTGTGGCAAACGTTTCAAGTCCAGTAAAGAGAAAGCCATATCTCAAAGTGTTCGATTTTGTAGTTTGTGTGGGCAGAAGGGCCATGACAAGCGCAAATGTCCCAATTATAACATTCACCTTGAAGATGATTCATATCGTCCAAACATGTGAAAAAAATAAATTCTAGTTGTTCTGATATGTGAAATGTTTATTTTAGTAGTTAGTCATTTTTTAAATGAACGATTTTGTGTATAATAAGACATTAAATTATTTTTGTTACTTTTTAGTATTTTGATATGATTGTTGCTAATGATGACTGGTAAATGACAGGTGTGTTTTATTTTAGTGCCATTGTTCATGCCATATAAATGCCACCTCAGCCGATGACTCCTTAATAAAAACAATCCACATGCTTCATAGAAAAACTGTTGCCCACAAAATCACAAAATCTTCGAGATTTTCCCATCACCCAAAAGCACACTACACACTAATTAGTAAAATACCCACCCCACCCCTCCCCACCACTTTCCATTTCTAGCAAAATACAAAATAGCCAGGATAACAACAAAACCTTCCCTTTTTTAGCAAAACATAAAACCACACCAAAAACTAAAAGTCTAAAACTTAGAATTCCAAATTTTGGGCCCATTAACATATCTCACTCCTTGACGTCATCATCCTTGCTCTGGTCTGCGGCGCCCTTGGAGGGGCAAACCGGGTATTTCACCCCGTTCAGCTCTATCTTACGGAGGGCAGCCTTATCCAAGTCAATACCACAAATGTCGGATAACCTAATCAGGTATAGCAAAACGTCGGATAACTCCTCCCCCAGATGCACCTTTTCCTCTTCTTTCCAATCAGGCAGCCCTTTTGGGACTTCCCCTTTCCATTGAAATATTTCAGATAGCTCCCCAATTTCTCCAACCTGATATTAAATAATAATAATAATAATAATAATAATAATAATAATAAATAGATGGGTTTCTTCTTTTTTGTTTTCATAAAATGGATTGAAATGCTAATTTTGAGCTAAATTTATATAACTGATAAATAATGGCTAATGCTGAAAAATTAGTTGATCTAACAAAAGTGTGATGTGAAATTAGATCAACTAAAATAAAAATTTTCAATTGATTTATTTTATTTTATTTTTAAAATAAACTGCTCAACGAACCCCTCTAATACTTTTTTATTAGTAATTCTCAAAGTACCACTAATAACGCTTAACAAACACGCTAATCTCAAGATTTTTTTATTAGTGATTCTCAAAAGACAGTTAATTGTTGAAATACTTAACTATAATATACACTAACACTGACATGTCTTAAAGAGCTAGGGGACAAAAAATTGGAGCGTTGACTAAGTCCAAATCTAAACATTAGAAAAATCATTATTGAACTAAGACTTGCAAAATCATAAATTAGAGAGCTAAATCGACTAAAACTGCATTTAAGGGCGTCATAGTGAAAGCGTGTGAGAAATTAGAAATAGTTTTGATCGAAATTTATTGAATAATAAATTAATAAAATAATAAAAAAAAACTGCCAAATCGAGTGACCAACTAACACGTAAAAAAGTAATATTTGGTTCGCTGGATAAGGTCGGATAAGAGGAAACAGTGAAAAGGACTGTTTTTATGCTATTCTGTTGCTAAAAATTCTTTGTACCAAACATTTTCACAATAAATTCCTACAAATTCTGAAATTATTTTTTCTTTGAGTGTAAGTAAAAATAAAATATAAATGATTTGTAGAAAAAAATAAAAAGCCCAAAAACAGTAAAAAAAATTAAAACATAATCAGCAATAGAATAATTTTAGTACTTTCTAGTGGAAGCAATAAAAATCTCCAGAATCATCATAAATCAGGGGGGAAATCTTCATAATAAAACAAATAAATAGAAATCAGAAAAAAAAAATTAAATTATATATGAATTTACCAAAGCCAGAAGAAGATTTCTGGGGCTGTGGAATTTTTCCCAGTCTCTTTCCTTGGCAAAATCATCCATTTTCTTCTTGAGAAGGTCCAGAGTCACTCGCTCTTCTTCCCCTGCGTCTTGTTTGGCTCCTGTCATTCTTGCTCTTCTGTTTTTCACTCTTTACGGATTTTTCGCCAATAAACTTTTGAGAGAGAGAAGCGAAAAGCCAAACGGGGTGTTAACTTTGCTTGATCCAACTTTTTTTGTGGGCGAGGTTTGTTGGTATATAAAAAGGTTTTAGTGCCGGTGGGGTTTACGGGCTACCGGCTATACCGGGTTGATTCTAGGTCATATGTTTGTTGTAGAATGACGAAACTACCCCTCACGAGTCCGTAAATTGCTTTGTGAACATAAAAAATTAAAAATTAGGCCATATGGTTTATAATATTTATTTTTACAATTTTAATTCAAAATCTAATTTAATTTTATTTTTTTAATATTATTAGTATAATTAATAATATCAATTTATCATCTTCATATTATATTTATTAACTCACGACGAACTCACATAATTTTAACTGTCCATCACTTTCAATCACTCATTTTTTTATATTACATCAAATCAACTTTAATCATTAATTTTAAATATTATATTAATACATTTCAAAATCTCATTCAAAACCATCTCAATCAACTTTTTAAAAATTAACTTTAATTAACCAATAAATTCAATCAAAACCATCATAACTTATATCTAATCAACCCCAATGTTCTACAATCGAGTCAGATGTCGAATGTGTTAGACGCCACAATTTTGTCTATACACGTTTGTAAACGTTTAGCCGACTTTATTTTCATATTATTTTATAAACATGTGTTAATTTTTATACATAAAATATATTTTAATTATTAAAATTTAAAGTATAATACTATAAACGTAACGTAAATGTACATCTAAAAGTAATAAAATAAAAACATAAATGCCTGTATATATTTAGCTAGCGCAAATATATTTTTATGACCTTGAATAAAAATAAAAGGTGTTTGTTTCCCATTTACATAATTACATTACAATGAAAAAATTCACAACCATATATATGTATATATATATATATTTGAATTATGATTGATAAAAAAAAATAATATTACAATGAATATTAGTAATATAACTTTATTTTCCAATTAATGTTGTTTATAAAATATATTTTATTATCTTTCAAATTTCAATATATATGCAATATAAGTTATCGTTATCTATATATATATAATAAGAATTAACATTTACCAAAAATAGTAGCAAAAAAATAGGTCAGAATTTAATGCAGTCTATAAATAGTAAGTTTTATTATTTTTCTTATTTTTTCTTTAAAATTCATACAGCATTAAATGCTACCTTAAATTTCGGGGTATAGTTTATTTTATTATTGAAAAAATCCGGCTAAGATTTATTAAGTGTGTATGTTTTTATTTTTATTTTTTTCTTAGAAACAACGAACAAAATTAAAATCTCGGTCTCTATATTTATAAAATCTCAATTCAAAATATAACAAAAGGTTTAGAATCTCGGTCTTTATATTTGTGCCTTTAAAAAAAATTGAAAGCTAAAAATATTCTTTAAATTGCATAATCAATCAATTCATCTTAATTTTTTAAAAATTACTATGTTTATTTTTCATTAATATGCATAAAGTAAAAATAATTAATTCATCTTAAGATATATAATTTATAATCTTAATATACTATCACTTGGTGTAGACATTTATTATATGAATCATAAAATATTTTTATTTCATAAAATTAAATATATTTAAAGAAAATAAGAAAATTTCTTCAGATCAATCAGGTGATTGAATTAGGGTACTGCTCAGGTTGATTGAATTACTTTTAAGTATTATTTAAAATAGTTAAAAAACTTGACACAACTTGGTTGGCTTGGTTGGTCTCAGGTGACTAAGTTATGAATCAGTTTGATCACACAAAATCGATTATTGAACCTAAATATAAATTTTATACTGAAAATATTTTATTACATGAATGTGATGTAGTCCAAATTTCAAATAATCGTATTAACAATACTTTTATGACAACATGTTTAATGATTTATGAATATTTATATATCATTTTATTAATATTTATGTGAAAAAAAAAATATTTTATTATAATATTTATTAATGTACATTAAATATAAGGTTCTCAGAACTGGACCGTCATCGAAACGATCAAGCTATTTTATTAAATCATTTCTGGTTTGTTCAGATTTTAATTTATAAACATTTTAATATATATATATATATATATATAGTATTTTTTGTAATAAATTTAAACAAAATGTGTTACTTAGATATTTAAAAAATTTATAAATTCAAATGTTAAAACTAATTGATAAATAATTTATAAATCTCTATTTTATTTAAATATGTAATTTTATTTGAAATAATTTTAAATATAATAAAATTTATTTAAAAAATCGTGTCGATCCTACAAATCCAACCGACTGGTGTTTACGGATTCAAAAGCAAATATCTTATTCAAGCGAACTAGACTGGTTATAAATCGGTTCTCGGTCCATCCGGTCGGACTGTGTCCAACCCGGTTTAATGTAAAAACAATACATATATCATGATTAATGTTATTTATATATTTAATTTATAATACAATCGTAATATTATTTTCCCGTGCATTGCACGGGCCACGCAGTAGTTCATGTAAAGCACATTGTGCGAGCTATTTTCAATGAGTTTGACTACTGACTGAGATATTGACCAAGCATTTATCTTACTCTTGTGTTGTAAGTATATGTCACCTTTATTATCGTATGAAGTTCGAGAGATGAAATTTACATAAAATTAAAACCAAATTGAATGCCAAAAAATAATAATTGAGATAACTAAGTAACTGATAAAATTACCGGGTTACAATTTTCTAACATTAATATTGAATTATCCTATCAATGATTACACAATAATCAATATTTTAATTTTTGAATCAAGTCAAATGTGTTGATCAACAATTAAAAATAAATAAAAGCTCAAAAAACACCGAATATTACATCTGCGAATTAATTTTTTTCAGATGCATTGGAAAAAAATAGAGACCAACCGACATGGGATTATATGGTCTCGATTTCTGGGAGACTCGTGTCTCGCTGTCATGAGGTGGGGCCCACAGTCAGTGTTCTTTTATTTTATTTATTTATGTTTTTTTTTTATTGGCTTAATGATAATATACGTAAACGTGATTAGCACCGCATTTAGGCGGTTAATAAAATAATACTCCAATTTCAAAGTGATAACTAATCCTCTTTTCAAAGTGAGCATGATTCCAAACACCGACTTTATGAGTTATGACTAATCAGCCCATTGGATTTTCAAAATCCAATTTCAAATCCCCCACTCATTATAAAATATCACGCTTGTGATTCGAATATATATATACTCTTTAGAATTTATAACACTTATTGAAACTTTAGAGGTTGATAAATTATTTTAATTAAATTATTTATTTGGAATAAAATTAATTTAAAAGAGCTTAGAGCAACCTAATGACGTGTATCAGAAAGTTCACGTGTTAGTATAAGTTAATATTATTCATAAACAACTATTATTTTATATAAATTCCGTATATATTCATACGAACTATCCGTATTAATTAAAAAACAACTATAGAATTAATTTTTGAAAATTACCTATGTTCATAAATAGACTACTATAGATGTAATAAGAAAACATAAATTATTTGGTATACCTATCAAAAGTAAATTACGTCTTGATTATTAATAAAAGGAAATTACATTATCTTTTATCAAAATAAATTATCACTAAATGTACAATAAATTAACTTTTTTCTCTGTTAATAAACTAATTTAAATAACTATCCAAATGTTTTGATATTCATTTGAGTGTTTTGATGAATGATGACTCAACCTAGGAAACACGATTTATAGACGATCATTATGTTTTCTTGATTTTCAAGGGGAGCAAAATGTAGTGGAATGTCATGTTAATTAGATTTTCATCTGATTGCATGAGTTATATCATATACACGTACTTAAATATGTTCTCATTTGTGAACAAATAAAAATAAAAAAATAAAATAAAAATAAAATAAAAATAAATAAATAAATAAATAAATTTGGGAGGGGCTGCATTTTTTAAATTTTACAAGTAAACAAAAGTTCTTGTAATAATTAGGTTTCGTGATATTTTTATAAGTATGGCCGAAAATAGGTAATTCATACGAGCTGAATAGCCATCCGAGCTCTTATTTTATTTTCACGCTTTATCCTATTCTAATGGCAACTCCGAGATAAACAAAAAGAAGAATTATATATTTTTCGTTGACCAATTCACGACAACAATAATTATATTCGTCAATTTATATTTTTTAAATCAAATAAAATTCTATATTAGGTGAAAATTGAATAATTAATTATAAATTAGGTTTAAAAATTTAAATTCAAATTATTGATATCGCACTACTTAAAATAAAAATTAAAATAAATTAAATAGAAATAAAATAATTAATTAATTTTTTAGAAGTTAATCAATAAATTTAGATCAATTATTTATATCACATTAGTTAAAATAATAATAAAAATCTCACTATGATGATAAAGAAAAATAAATAACAACAAAAAAAAAGAAGGTAAAAAATAATGTTTAAAAAAATTTCTTCATTTAGTAAGCAATAATTCTTTTGGGGCAAAACCTATTGTTTTTAGTAAATTCGAACATTTATATATATATACACGAATTGGTTCTAATGCATCCACTTACTTAAAGTGAGGACGTGAGACTCATTTTTAGCCACAAGATTTGGTACATGTGTGGCCAAGATTTACTATTTCTTTTTATTATTTTAATTATTTAAATATTATTTTGACCCGTTGACTCCGGCATTGACCGTTGACTTCCGACGAAATCCGTTGACTATAGTTGCTCAGTTAGTTCTATGTAGTTGCTAGGTTAGTTGTCTGTAGTTGATAGGTTAGTTCTCTGTAGTTGTTAGGTTAGTTCTCTCTCACTAACAAAAACAAAAACAAAAAAAAAACGAAAAAACTAGAAAAAACAATACAAAGTCTGTCTTCGGGCTAACAGATATCCGGAATAAAGATCTAATCTAATGACAACAATAAACCTAATCTACTAAAAACGGAACGATGGATATCCAAGCTGGTCCATCCAAACAAGTGTGCGAAGGCGGAGTGGAGCAGTGTTGGTCTGAAATGTATATGTGTCTGGTATGGTGGCGCCAAAGCTGGCAAGGTAGTCAGCAGGTCTGTTCCCCTCACGGAAAATGTGCGTGATCCTGTGATGGACAGACTGGAGTAGAGCTCTAATACGCATAAGCGGGTGCTGAATCTGCCACGAGCCCTGGTGGCCCGAAGTCAAAAGGGTGGCGACAGCTGCAGCGTCTAGCTCGATCCAAATATGGCTAGAGAGTTGGACAACAATCTGAAAGCCGATCTGTAATGCCTGAATCTCTGCATCATTGCTCGAGGAGGTTTGAAGGGGCGCGTGGATGGCGGTGATGAGGGCGCCGCTGTGGTCCCGAATCAAGCCTCCTCCTCCGACAACTCCGGTATGATGATCAAACGAGCCATCAGTGTTCAGCTTGACCCACGGAGAGTCAGGTCGAAGCCAAACAATAGCTCTGGCCCGAAGAGGCCGAACAGGCGGTGGGGTGGCCACCATGTAACGGTGTGGCGGCGTGCAACCTGTCCGGTCTCGGGCCGTGAGCCTGCCCAATGCTATGAGGAGTGAAATATGTCTCTCTACCTGCAAAACAATATGAGAAAATAAAAAAGTAATATCCCTATGTTTTGCACTATTCCTCTCTGTCCAGGTGAACCAAAGGATCAGACAAGAAATGAGGAAGCCCACGTGTCTAAGGTGTGTGCTCTGTGAGAAAAAACTCAGGAGCTCAAATAAACTGTCTGTGGTGGGTAGGGATATATGGGTCCAAGTAGCAAAATGCTCCCACACTCTCGACACAATCTCACTCTCTAGAAAAAGGTGGGTAAAGGTCTCGGTCTCATGGCTTCCAGTCTCAGAACAACACACACACCGAGAGGGGAAGGAGATCACCCTCGCGTGTAACACAGTATCCACGGGTATCCGGCGCAAGAGGAGGCGCCAAAGGAACACCGAAATGGTAGGGGTGAAAAGGTCGCTCCAGATGGCCCCGAAGAGAAGATTAGGCCGATTTCTCAGTCTGATCTGTTCACAAGCCGAGGTAGTAGAAAACACACCCGATGATGTAAGTCTCCACCTCATGCCATCCGAACCGTCCCCCGAGATGGGGATCTGCTAGATCTGATCTAAAAAACGCTCGCTAAAACCCGCCCCAGAGCCCAACTCCATATCTAGCTTCCCCCTATCGCACGACCCGTCCGTCCAAAGGTCGCTCACAAGCAGGTAGGGGGAATGCGACACCTGCCTATCCCTAGACAACGGCCTATCACCTACCCACCACTCATCCCAGAAACTAACATTTCCCTCGCCCAAAACCCAGAAGATGTGATCCTGGGCGCGCCTACCGACCCTAGTGAGGCGCCGTCACTGTCTGCTATCATGATCGACTGCCGTCACCCAACAAGGATGGTTGGCACGTCTAGGGCAGTACTTGCCGCGAAAGTACTGAGCCCAAAGCGACTTTCCCTCCCTGAAGCGCCACCACAGCTTGTAGGAGAAAGCTGTAACAATGTCTCTGAGGCGGCGGATGCCAAGGCTACCCTCGGGGAGGGGGGGACAGATAGAGTCCCAACTCACCCAGTGAGTACGTCTCCCCCTCCGAGAACTGTCCTCGTAACCTCATAAATAACGAGCCATAATCTGGTCAATCTCGTCAAGAGTAGACCTAGGGGGTCGAGGACCATAAGCAAGTGAATTGGAAGAGAACTAAGAGTGTTCTTGATCAGCGCAGGCCGACCACCGAAAGAAAGATGTCTATGCGACCAACCAGAGATCTTGTCGATCATCCTCTGCCTGACGCCCACAAAGAGCGCTCTGGTGAGGTTACCCTTATATAAAAGGACACGAAGGTAGGTAATGGGAAGGTCGCCACGCGCAAAGCCAGTAATGTTGTGGACCCGCTGAGCCCACCTGTCCGTGCTGGAAGAGGAGAGGGTGAAAGTGCTCTTCTGCACACTGACCAGCTGACTGGTGACCAAGTCATAGTGCTCCAGAAGGCGCATAAGCTCGACAAGTCCATCATCATCCGCCTGGGTGAAGATGATGATGTCATCCGCATAAGAGAGGTGACAGATGGGAGGACCATAGCTACGGGTGCTATATGTAGTTGCTAGGTTAGTTGTTTGTAGTTGGTAGGTTAGTTCTCTGTAATTGCTAAGTTAGTTCTTTGTAGTTGGTAGGTTAGTTTTATGTAGTTGTTAGGTTACTAGTTGCTAGGTTAGTTCTCTGTAGTTGTTAGGTTAGTTCTTTGTAGTTGCTTGGTTAGTTGTCTGTAGTTGTTAAGAGCTGTCTGCATTTTAAGAACTGCCTTAACAGCTATTGCAGATAAATTTTATAATCCATTAAAAAATTATTGACAATTTAATTTTTATGTTAAAAAATGTTATTTTTTTCATTACGTTATTAGTCTCTTCGCATATCTCACTGATAGAACAAAGAATTCGCCGCTTCGCTATTGCCACCGCTTCCTCATCGCTTCCCACTTCGAGCTCACTGTTCACCGCCGCCGGGGTCTGTAAGCTCTCTCCGGTCGCAAGTAGGTTCCCTACAAATATTTTGTTCTTCTGCTATTTTATTCCCTTTTCTAATTCCCTTCTATATCCGAATTTCTCTCTGTTTTTTTCCTCTTGTTTTGATTATTTTGTTGTCAATTTATGGAAATTGGAAGGAAGTCTGGTTAGTTAGATGCTCAGATTATATTGATTTGATATTGTGATGTTGGATTGTAGCTGAGTTATTTTGTACAGAGGAGCTCATGGCCTCTTTCTTCTCCAAAAAAATTGAAAAGAATAAAAGTGAAAAGTTGAGGGAAAAAAGTAGAGTGGCTGTGTCATCTATATCCGAACTGCTAATATGTCTTGAATTTATGGATTAAAATCCCATCATATTGTTTTGTATGTCACAACATTTCTAATATTAAAAGAGTATTTTTTTTTTTAACCTGCACTGGTACCCACTAAATTGCAGCCATGGGGGATCCAAACCCTAGCTCCAAAGAAGGAAAATCCGATGCTCGAATTATACGTTGCCCGCACTGCGCCGGACCCCTCACGAAGGATATGGTAAATCCAAAAAAAGAAAATTGAATCTTTAGCCAGCGTTTTTTCCGATTTTTCTGAATTTTCATTTGATTTGTAGGAGACAAGTGAATGGACTGTACCACCGCTCATCAGAGACAGCTTTTCTATGGTGTGAATTATGATTGAGCTCATAGTTTTAACTATTCCAGATAGTTTTTATTTTTAGTTTTTTGTGATTTTGATATGAACGTGTGTTCCTTTTTTTTCTTTGTCATTAATTTAGATAGGATCCGCGGTTGGTGGCACGGCTGGTGCTTTTTACGGCTTCAACCATGGTATGCTTGTGTTTCAAGTACTTTTAAGTATTGTTTGTGTATATAATTTCTTTCAGGATTGAGTGGCCATATATATGTTCCATTAGTTACATTTACTTCGTGTGATTTGTTTCATATCCATTTGTGTTTTCTTTTTAAGAAATAGGTTTTCTGGTTATATCTCCTGGTTTTTGCTTGTTGAATGTTCTTGTGTGTGTGTCTCTCTTTTAGCTACTAATTTGAAGGATACCAAGAAACGTTACAACAACAACAACAACAACAACATAGCCTTTTAGTCTCAAGCAAGTTGGGGTAGGCTTAAAAAAAACGTTAAAAAAATGAAATGAATATTTGCATTTTTTGTATATATTTATTATTGGAAACCTGAGTATAAACTACTTCACTTAGCATTCGGTCTATGAGATCCATATGCTAAACAAGGACATCCATACATATACACAATGCCTATCATGTCATTTTTGCTAGAAAGTTCCTTTATTACAACGTTTGTTCTTGATGTATACACAACTAATCTGTTTGTCAATCATGCTGACTGAAAGTCATTTAACATGTTTTCTCACCACTCCTTCATTGTTCAGTTAATTACCATAATCTCTGTATTTGAGTTTTTCGAAAATTTTCTTCCACTTCATACTTATTTGTCTAAAATGTTTCTGCAGCCATGCCGATTGTTAGGAGGTGGATTAAAGGGCCAATGTGGCTGCATTTTCTTGTTGGTGTAAGTTCTTGCTTGCCTTTTCTCGTTTCTCTGTTTATTCCTTCTTTATTATTATTATTATTATTATTATTATTATTATTATTATTATTATTATTATTATTATTATTGTTTATTTATTTATTTTTTGATAGGTGGGGATAGTATTGAGCATTGTTTAAGATTTTAAAATATGATATCTGTATCAGCTTAGGCTCTAGTTTCATTGGAAGTAATAGAACCATATTCTGATATTTGATTAAACACCCGGATGGTATATGCAACTTTCTTGTGTTAGTCGCTATCTTGGTTTTGCATATCGAAATGCTAGTCTCGGTTTTTTTAATTGTAAACCTTTTTTCTTCATTCATTTTCTTCCTTGCATGTTTCCTTGTTGAAAATTAATGAATTATGTTTTATTGTTGCAGGCCCCACCAGTCATTATTTTCTCATCAGGCTGTGCTGGATTAGCAGGTGAGACAAAGGACCAAATAAGATAGTTGTAAAGGATAAACAAGAATTATTCTATTTTCTCCAAGAAATCACTATAGCCTAATCCAACCACCAGCATTCTCCATGATGTGATCATCTGAGTTCGTATAACTCATCTCGATTTTTCTGAGCGTCTCACATTTTTTATGATTATTAATTTTTCTTTCACTCAGTTCATTGACATTATGCTGAATATATACCACGACAATGCGAATTGGTATTAATATTGAGAGACATAGCAAAATGGTTTGTGGCAGTAAGATAAGTGTACATGAGGGGTTAACTGTTTGTTCATTGAAATATGGAAGTATAAGCCACTTTTTTTTAATGATAAAAGTGTTTTTTTTAACTGTATATCCAACCATCGTTACGAAATATGTACTTGTAATCTTATCTGACGATGCATTTCGTGTATTCTTACCGGCTTAATTTTGCACAGGTGGCTCGATTCCAGCCTTGGCTCAACTTGCATCATCGTCTTATCATGCTGTTATGACATCATCGCAGTCATCATCACCATCTTCACCTTCATCCTCGTAGAATATGATGTTACCAAAGCCAAAATTGTCTTTTTTTTTTTCTTCAAATGCTTGAATGTTATTCTTTTACTTAATTCTTGTAAAATTATGTTCTCCTTACACTTTCCGCATTCATGCATTTTTTTCATTTATTTCTCAGCATTGTTGTATTAATTTGTTGAATCTAACTCATTTTTTTTTATTAACGTATAACAGATTTGCGAATGCTTATATTTAATTTGAAGCTGTATTTTCTTCACTGCTACTTTTGCTACAACATTTTGAGTGTTCAATCAAAAGCACATTTTTGCAGTTTCTCTTTATTCTGCACGCATTTGATTTTCTTGATAATACAATTTCATGTAAATAGATAGGTTATTTATGTGTTTCTAATGTATGCATGTAATTTGGAGTTGTGTTCGTGCTGTAGGATATGGAATTTTTGTTGAAGATTTTTGCTCCACCTTATAAGTTTGAATAAAAGTGTAACAAAATTCTAAGAATGGTGAATTCTGAGAGTGTGAATGGAAAATTTTATGGAAATGTAATTAAATAAAAAACATGATAAAAAATAATTGGAAATTGATGAATAGCGGAATATGTAAGTGAATGACTAGTCAATTTTTGCGTTGCGTTTTTAAGTTGTGTTCGGTTTGGTCTTGTTGGTAGGCAGATCGTAAATAAATCAAACATTTTCGATTTGATTCATGATTTGTATTCGTAAAAGTTTGAATTTGAATAAGAGTAATGTTTAATATTTGAAATTTATTTGAATTCGGATTCGAATATGCATATTCGATTCAAAATTATCAAGCATTCTGTTAATTAATAATAATTCAATATATATAAATATATTAAATTTTACAAAACACAAAAGAAATATTTATATTTAAAAAAGCATATTTAATTTATATAAAAAGTATTGTTATGTTTTTAATACATATATATTATATTAAAAAATATATTTAGAAAATTATATAAATATATTTATATATTCCTAATTATTTTCAAAAACGAATTCCCAATCAAATCAAATATATTCTATTATCTTAATAGAATAGAATACGAGTCTCAAATTAAATTCGATAACAAATTGAATACAAATAGTCTCTATTTAAATATTTTCATAAATTCAAATCGAATAATTGAATATTCTCTTCAATACCATAGTCTTCCATGACACTCGTGTCCCATTTGCGCTTACACAATTGTCCCATTTTTAAGAAATTTAGTTTTATGTTAGGAAAATCACATGTTAGAATGAAAAACATGAGATTATAAAATCTCCAAGCAAATATATGCCAACTAGCTGCCAAAATAAATATATGAATGCTTCTGACAATTAAAAACTGAAAAACATTCATGTCCAAAAAAAGAGAGAAAAAAAAAAAAACAAACAAACAAACAAACACGAGTCTAATATCGGCCGATCAACATAAAATCATCGTCTTCCAAAACCCGAACCTCCTTCTCCCCGATGAAATTCTCCCTCCCGAGCTCCTCGACAATCCTTACAAACTCCACCCTCTTCTCCATCGCACGCGGCACATACGGCAGCCTGAAAACGGGCCTCACGACCCCAAGTTGGGCCAGGGCCGTGTTCAGCCCAATCGGGTTCGGCTCCTCGAACAACCACTTCACAAGCGGCAAAACCCTCTCGTTCAACTCCCAATTCCTCCTCCCGAACATCATCTCTCTCATCAACCCCGGCACCAAATTGCTCGCGACGGAAATTACGCCTCTACCCCCGTGATCCCACCTCGAGTCGTGACACTCGTCATCGTTCCCACTCCACACGACGAGCCCGTTACTCACGTGCTCGTCGACCCGCGCGTGTCCCACACACTCCTTCACGCCCGCGAGATTCGGGCTTCGGGCCAAGGCCCGAACGACGCTCGACGGGATATCTTGACCCGTTCGTGAGGGTACGTTGTATAATATAGTGGGGCCCATGTGGAGGACGCTCTCGAAATGGAGGGTTAAGCCGTCGAGGGAAGTTTTTCCGTAGTAAGGGTTGATGTGAAGGGCGGCGTGCATGCCGACGGCAAAGCCTTGCTCGGTTGCATGGATGGCCTCGCGGGTCGAGTTGCTTCCGGTGTTGCCGATGACTTTGACCGAGGCGCCGAAGCAGTTGACCGTGTGGCCGATGAGCATGATGTGCTCGTCCCACGACATGAGTTGACCCTCGCCGGTGGTCCCGCCAACGATGACGCCTTCGGCTCCGCCCTCGATTTGCATGTTGACGAGCGTGTCGTACGCCTCCAAGTCGAAGCGGCCGTCGGGGAGGTACGGAGTTTTGATGGCCGTTATTAGGCGGAGAGCCTTTATCTCGTCCACGTTTGTCCTGCAATGACAAATATGAATATATCCGTTCAAAATGAGTTTTTTTTTTTTTTTATCTAAACCAAGGTTAATTTGGAAGAAGGTCGTTGTTAGTTGTTAGGGGGATTTTTAGTTTCTATTAAAATAGTATTTAAAATAAAATAAAAGTTGATAAAGTAGTAGGAGAGAGATGATGTGAAGTGATGGACAGTTAAAATTACGTGAGCGGAGGGATAGTGAATTAAAGTTGATGTGACGTGTAAGAATTATTGATTATTATTATTTAGTTATATTGATAACGTTGAGAATAATGGGGTTGAGTTGAAGCTGAGTTAGATTTTGAGTTGGATTGAAAATTTTTATATCCAATCACACCTCTAACGTTTGACACATAACAAGACATCTACACTGAATTGTTTTATCGAATTTCTCCATAAATCTTTTCATGTCAGCATTCAGAAGCCGAGCAAATCAAATGTCAATACATTGTTTTAACTTTTAACATTGTTACATATGTCTTACTACCACTAGAGCTGTCAAAACGGGCCGGCGTGGCGGGACNAATTATAAGGAAGCAAGGCATTATACATGTAGAATTGTAAGAATATATATATTAATAATATATATATTTTTTTTTTAAATAATGTGGGCCAGCCCGCGGGCTAGCCCGCCCCGCCCTGCCCTGGCCCGCAGCCCGCGCGGGCTGGCCCGTTTGAGCGGGCCTAGAAAATCCCGGCCCAAACCGCCCCTTTGGCGGGGCGGGGCCGGCCGGCCGCGGGCCAAATTGACAGCTCTAACTACCACATTCAAACGAAGTGGAGAGAAAGTGAGAATCGCTAAATGGAAAAAATCGACTCCTTTTGAAGAGTAGAAGTGACTATAATTCAAGAAAATTATAAACCTTTAGTACACTCTACATCTATCATGCCACAATAATTTCCTTCACTAACGTGAGATTCGTAGAAAAACTATAAAAAGGAAAGGTAAACTTGCTATGAATCCCATAAAATCTTGCAGGAACTCATTGAAGAAAATTAGTATCGCTTAATAAAAAATTCGGCTAACCATTTACCTATTTTTAACTTCATAACTACGCATTGGGAGATGGAAATCGGACACCACAGCTGCTCTGGGTGACCTCCATTTTTGCACCCTAACTGCATCATCACAATAACATGAAAAAAAAACATCAGTACATTGCGTAAAAATGTTCGTTAATAAAATTAATAATAATAAAAGAACATGCTTTTGAATTGAGCTAGTCATATTGCTCGATATCTAACAGTCACCATTCAAGATCCATTACAATGCATCAAAGCCAACAATGCACTAAACAGCTGGGTATACAAATTTCTATGAGGAGGAAAAAAACTCACTCAGATGACAAAAGAGGGGGAAAAAAATACAAGATCAATTAACATTTTCTACATTCTTTTCTGTTCATTATTTTTTAACTCTGCTCAAAGACTGTTCCAACGCTAGAATTGTCACCTTTCTAAACTGCTGTGCAACAAAATGAACAAACATGAAGCTCATACAAGACTCTGTGTATCTATAATTCTATATACCTCAAGAATACAGAAAATTAGCTCGTAAACATATGAACCAACAATCAACCAGAGGATCAGTTTAAAATCAGCTCAATAAATCTCAGTGTAGCAGAACATTTAAATGAATACAAAAACAAACCTTTTTCACTCAAAAAATAAAAAACGATCTTGAGGGTTAAAACCGATCTTGAAACAACCAAATCACCACCCTTTTTCTAAGAGAGAAAAAATCGCCAATTTTGGAAATCAATTGGCGAAACAGAACAATCTAATAAAATACCTTGATGAGTAGTTTTGAGAGAAGAACATCCAATCGCCGACGACATCACAGCACACAGATAAAAGTAAGAAGAATGAGAAGTGAGTGAAAGCTGAGCTAAATCAGGTGAATCCTCCGGCAGAAAAAGGAGCTACAAAAGACAGCGTGGATGAAAAGCTTCTTGACGTCGGCGGCACAGCCGCATTAGCCTTTTCTCCGACTAGTGAAGGTGGTGGTTTGGCCGGCGGCGAGGTTGGCGAGAAGAAAAGAGCTGCGAAGGCGAAAATGGGAAGGAAAATGGAGTTAAAACCTCTAGGGATTGACCATGGCGGCGGACTATTAGGTTTTTCTTCTATTACCGGTTCAGGCGGTGAAAACCGGCCGTGATGGTAAGGTAAACCAACAATTAATTATTAATTAAAATATAAAACAAAAAATACATTTTTGATTTTTTTCTAATTGATATATAAGCTGTTTGGTAAAAGTAAAAATAACTTATAGCTGATTCTGATATCGGAGGTACCAACACTAGGCGAACTTGCCGATCTTTCTAAACGACACCTGCCTATCTAGGTGAAAGAGCAAGTTTATTTTGCGTGAGACCAAGAAAGAGGCCTCCGCAGTAGAATGTCATTTCAGTCTTACATGCCCTTTGGTCTGGTAAAGCTCCTTCGTTCGGTCGCTCCTTTGTACCTTGTTGGTAAATAAAAAGCTAAGCTAGTTTCTTCCCTCTTCAAACCTCCCTCATGAGTCCGAAAATGTACCAAGTCAAAACTATTCTCCAAGTCCATCATCTTGCATGTCCGACAGGTGCTTTACGAAAATAGAACCCGAAGATACGAACACGCGGATCCAGTAATATAGTTTGTGTGCCGTGAGTGGTAGCTTAACGGCTGTCTAGCTTATCAGATAAGCTTTTCAGCTAAAATTTTTATTTCAACTAGCTTATCAATTAATTTTATCAAACACTTTTATTATATAAGTTAACTTTTCAGCTATAAACTATAAATTATAAGCTATAAACTCGAAAATCACTTAATCACCTATTAGCTAACTTATAAGTTAATTATAGCAAACATAGCTTAGTACTTTAGTATGACTTATTCTCAATTTGTTTAATTTCGGATCAAATAACAAAATAATAAGAAAAATGTTATAAGAACATAATAAATATACATAGAGGTGTACATAACACTTACATGGAGTGGGGTCCACTTGATTTTTTTTTATAAAAAATACCAAAAGTACATAATAAATGTACATGTACATAAAAGCACCCATAATGTTTTGGGTCTCTTTAAAAAAAATCACATGACATATAGAAAATAGACCTAATCTATAAAAAAAATATTTCACAATGCAATTAAAAGTGGACCTAGTCTAGCTTATGTGGCAATAGAAAAAAGAGACAAAGTCCACCCTTGAGTCTATTTTAGACTCAAGTGTGAACCTTACAATAGTAATCATTTACTATTATTATATTTTTATTGGTTGTTAGGTATTCTAGACCTAGTACTTTTTTTTTTGAATTTGATAGATTTTAGATTTTTTAGCTTGAGTTTGTCCATTTCATTATAGACTTAAGTCTATTTATTTGGCACATATGCAAAAAGAGACCAAAAACATTGTGGATGCTCTAACACTCACATGGAGTGAGTTCACTTGATTTTTTATTTTTGGCAGGACCCACTAAATGTGAGTGTTATGTGCATCTCTATGTACACTATTATGTACCTATAACATTTTTTTTTGTGAGTACCATTCAATTTAAGTGTTATGTACACTCTTATGTACAATATTATATATCTATAGTATTTCTCAAATAATAATAAGACATAATCTTGAGTGAAAATAATGGACGCAGAAAAATCACTTCGTATTCTCGTGGAACAGACAGAAACAACTAAATTCTTAGATTAATTAAAAAATAATTAAAGATATATATTTTTATTGTAAAATATCATGTTCTAAAAAACTATTTGAATGGAAATACACAAATATGAAGTATTTGTGCATTTTTGTTTTGTTCAAATTGTAATTAGGGTCGACCGTCACAATAGAATTTATGGTTATTTTTATATACGAAAATGTAAATGTAATTTATTGTGTAATTAGTTTCAAAATGAATAAATAAAATAAAATAGGTAAATGCCAAAGATAAATAAATAAATAATATTGGGAGGTGCTTTTATTACCCGTGAAATACGCAATGAGTGTGTGCGGCCACTACTTTTCCTTAAAAACCAATAAAAAAAGAACAAAAATAGAAAAAAATCTATATAATTTTTTTATTTATCTCCTTCATCCCCACATCTCTTCACAGTTCACACACACACAGGAAAATTAGTTTCGAAAGCAAAACAACAATGGCGGAGGAAGGCGGCGGCGAAGGCGGCGGCGAGGAGTACCTGTTCAAGATAGTGGTGATCGGAGATTCGGCCGTGGGCAAGTCAAATCTGCTCTCTCGCTTCGCCCGCGACGAGTTCGATCACAACTCCAAGGCCACCATCGGCGTCGAGTTCCAGACCCAGGTCGTGGAGCTCGACGGCAAGGAGATTAAGGCCCAGGTGTGGGACACCGCCGGGCAAGAGCGCTTTCGGGCCGTCACCTCCGCCTACTACCGCGGCGCCGTCGGGGCCCTCGTCGTCTACGACATCACCAGGAAATCTACCTTCGAAAGTGTCCAACGATGGCTTGATGAGCTTAATAGTAAGCTTTTGTTTTTCACCCTTTTCCTTAAAACCCTAATAAAGTTTGACATTTTTATTTTGTTTTTCGCTGGATCTTTCTTATTTGTTCTTGGCCCTTGTTCCATCTTCTGTTTTTGATGGTGTTGGTAATAATGAATGTGCTAAAAATTGGATCTTGCTGTTGTCTAGTGAGTGTATTGGTAAAAATTGGATCTGCCTCTGGTTCAATTTCTGTTTGATTTTTTTTTTTTCATCTGTTGTTAGGGGTTTAAAAAATACTACATTGTCATTTTAGTCATCTAATTAGCAAACATGGAATTATCAATTTTCTTGGACTTTGCTTAAGTGAGATTAGTCTGCAGATCATCCAATTTAGCAAGGAAAATGGACTGTAGATTTTTGGTTTTTATTTTCTCAGTAATTTTCCATTTCTGGTGACCCGATGACCTCTGTAGACGGTGTTTTGAAAATAAGCCGATTTATTTTTAAATCCAACGATCACCGCAGCTTAAAGTTGCGACTTTGTTTGTGGATTTTTAAGCATATTCGAACGTGGATAACTCAAACCTAAAAAGCTCTCCTTTTTCGTATGTACATTCCTTTATTTGTGTGTGTGTGTGTTTTTTTTTGGGGGGTTAATTTACTATATTTTGCTATTTTCAGAATTGCTATAATCTTGGTTTGCCGGTTTTTACCAATGTCGACTGATAGAGTCGTTGCCCATTTCTGATTATATTCACCTTTTTATTGTTCTAATTAATCTTGGTTGTTATATTGAAAACTGATGTAGTAATATTAGCTTCCTAAATTTGGTCTAGTTTTCAGATAAGCTGCTTAAATTAATCTTGGTTGTTATATTGAAAACTGATGTAGTAATATTAGCTTCCTAAATTTGGTCTAGTTTTCAGATAAGCTGCTTAAATATGTTTTATGGCATTGCTTTTGGTCATGTAAGTGGTAATAGAAATATTTCTGTACAAACACATACAGATACGGTTTTGCTATGGAGCCAACTGTTGGCTCCATAGCAAAACCGCATACAGATATATTCATAATCGGGATTGGGACGAACGTGATTTTGTGTTCGTGTTTGGTTTATTTGGAAACTTGTATTCTGGATAATATATCTAAGTTTAGTAAAAATCAATTTTCATTTGTTAAACTAAGTACTCTTTCATTTTATTTTCTTCTTATTTTTCTCTAGTTTTTAGGTGTGTGTGTGTGTGTTGGTAATGTGAACACTAGAATTGTTGTGTTAGATCAATAAACTAAGATAGCGATTAAAAGACTATGAAGGTTATCTAATAAACATTTGCACCAATAGTCGATAGAGACAGAAATTTAGAGATCATAAAAGGTATTCAAGACGGGCAGTTAGGAAGCTGCAAGCAGAAAAATATAACAAGCTTCTATCAATAAATATATATGTCAATCATTGGGACGTTTAATCTAAATTGACAATTTTGGCCTTGCTGTTCTAATATTAATAATTAAGCTATATAAGATATTTATGCAGATAAAAAAGTCGAGGGGCTCGTCGAGCTAACGAGCCTCTTGAAATGATGCTTGAGACTCGACTTGTTTGCTCGATTGAACTGTTTATGTCTAAATGTATGGAAGAACCTCATTAGCACCTTTGATTAACAGATTTAAGAAACATATAAATGATCATTTTCGCCCATTTCTTTGTATAATTTGTCAAATTACTCTCTAATGAAATACTAGCCAAGTTTGTTGGACATGAAATTTTATATTTGGAAAAGTGAATTCGAATAATATAGGGTCATATCTTTTGGGATTACTCAAAATGACTTGAAATCATTGGAGCATTATCACTCAAAACAGTCCAATGGATTTGTTACTGTTGATGAAAGAAAATACAACTAATACATGAATCCAAAGCCTTTGTTTCTTCTTTTTTTAACCTGAAAATGACTTTAATTTATCTTCTTTTTTCTTTAACATTTTTTGTTTTGTATATAAAAAAAATAAAAAAATTATACGCAGCTCATTGTGATACCACGGTGGCGAAAATGCTCGTGGGGAACAAATGTGATTTGGACAATATTCGAGAAGTGAATGTAGACGATGGAAAAGCTTTTGCAGAGCAAGAAGGATTGTTTTTCATAGAAACTTCTGCCCTCGACTCTACTAATGTTAAAGAGGCATTTGAGATTGTGATTCGAGAGATTTACGATAAGGTTAGCCGCAAAATACTGAACTCAGACTCGTACAAAGCTGAGCTTTCGTCAAATCGGGTGGATGTGAACTTGTCGNTGGAATTGTGACGTTATTATAAGTTTTTTTTTTTGTCAAGAAACTATTTTTCTGCGGAAATTAATTGTTGGATTCAGATTAGTAATTATCAGTTGATAATATTTTCTCTATTTTGTTCCTTAATTCAATATTCAGGGTTAAAAAATAACATTCGTTATGAATATATGGATTTCTGCTTCGTAGTTCTATGCATCAAATTTTTGTGTTTTATAGTAGTTCATATAGATTTGGACTTTTGATCATATTTTTCTTCTGGAACTTTTAAAATTATAACACTATCAATTTAATTTATAAATATATTTTAAAATTTAAAACTTTTTGATTAATTATTTTTTTTTCATATGTGATATATCAAACTCATCTTCTTTTGATGTTATTTGGGTTGACGTACTTCTATGATTAAAATTATCTCATCAATTTCAATTGTAAAATAATTAAATTATTATTTGTTAATTAAACAAGTTTGTCTATCAATAATATCATACAATATAAGTTAGAAATTTTATTATAATATAGGATAAGTGGGATTTATAAGTGATTAGAGTCATTTTAAATAAAAATGTAATTAATTTTTGTAAGGAGTATTTGAAATTAAATTTTCAATTTTTAGAATTTTGAAACAATTCAATTAACAATCTTGTATTAAGCGAATGTTTGTATTATTACTAAGAATATATAAATTTAGAGTCCAATATATGGGGATTTGGAATTTACACATATAAATTATGAGTTTTAAGAAATAAAGTAACATTCATTTTGGTGCTAAGGTGCCCGCCGACCATAATCTACTCTATAATTTGAAGGGTGATTACAAGCACCTTTCTTTAGTTTTTTACATCAATTTAATACCATCTTATTAATGCTAATAAAATAATTAAATAAAGCAAAAAGTATAATCCATGAATTATAACTTAATCCTCCTTTCTTCCTTGAATAAGTACCGAAAGTTAATTATCACTTTATTTTTTTTTTCCTTTTTAATATACCATCTTACATATTGTAGTAACTAAGTGCGGAAATGATTAGCGAGTGAGGAGCCGGGATTGTAGCCGCTCACTTTGCTTTCATATGTCTGTGACGATCGATGTAACATTAGTTTTGATTTATAAAATTTATTTTACCAATAAAAAAAAAACTAAGTGCGGACAAGAAATATTAAATAATATTTATCAATTAATAATATAGATTTAATATGTCGTATATTTACTTATAATTTAACAGCACGTTGCATACCTTTTTTTGGTTGATGAGAACTCATCAAAGGACTATACTTTTAGCAAAAATAAAAAAATCAACATCAAAAAATAAAAAAAAAATCCAACTAAATACTCGATTTAGGAAATTATTAAATCGGTTTACAATTAAGAGACCAAAATATAAAGTAACTAATTATAAACTTATCAATCATTTACTAAAAAATTACTATCATACTTTTATATTAATTATTCTATTATTTTTCTATCACATCAGCTTTTAACATTATATTTTATCACATCAGCTTTTCCATTATCTTACTCATTTTTTCGATCCTTTTTTATCTATCAAAAGTATTTAGATCCAGTCACACTTCTTTACACTTTTATTTACTCAAAAAATAAAAGTTATATATATATATATATATATATATATATATAGGGGCTGGTTCAAATAAAAACTATGTCTGGTGTGAGAACCGTGAGAACCATATTTGATGCTATTTTTAATTGTGTATGATGCTATTTTTAATATTACATGGTGCTATCATTTTCATAAATGCTAATAAAAATTTTGTTGCTATTTTTAATCAAATACATCCTAGTTAAAAATAGCACTAAAACACAATTAATCATAGCACTACATATAATTAAAAATAGCGGTTCTCACGGTTCTCACACTAGGACTTGGTTCTCATTTGAACCACATCCTATATATATATATATATATAAATGTTTGGTATTTACCTGAAATAGAAGTAAAAATCCAGCCTAAATAATTCATCTTTTCCTTTATTAGTAATTTTTTGAAAATCTATATCTATCTATATATATATATATAATAAGAATTACTACCATTTACTAAAAATAGTATCCAAAAATTTAGGAAACATTTAATGCATACCATTTTAGGAAATTTTTTAAATATATGCATTAATTGCTTCCATATACACGTTTTCAAATAAGACCAAATAAAGTATGATCAAAAAATTGTTTAAATAAATTTATTAATATCTGCAATATTTTCATTGATATTTATTGTAATAAATTAGAAGATTGATTTTTCGTAATTCATGTGATAATAATTTGGTCAAATAAATATTATTTTATTAATATTTGTAATACTGTCATTGATATTAATTATCATAAATTACAAAATTGATTTCCATGATCCATGTTGATAATATTTTGGTCAAGATAAATATTATACCATATTTTAATTTCTAACCATAATATAATTTTTTTTTCACAAAAATTCACTTTTATCCAAAAATATTTATGAAAAATCGTAACAGGTTAGGTAGAATTTTTTTTAAGCTTTGCCAAATTGGTGAATTAATCTTTGCCAATATATTTTTTTTTTAAGCTTTATTTTATTAAATATAAAAAATAAATTGTTCTTCAAATTAATATAATTTTTACCATTTAAGAGATAATGACCAGATACATTAAATAGTTTTACATTAATATTTAAATTCATAATATAATTCAGAATTTGTAATTAATATTACATTACATATAGGCCAAATAGCTAACAAAATTATTTAAATTCGTAATATAATTCAGAATTTGTAATTAATATTACATTACATATAGGCCAAATAGCTAACAAAATTATTTAAATTCGTAATATATTCAGAATTTGTAATTAATATAACATTACATATAACAATTTTAATAGGGGAAAATATAGTACATAAAATAATATACTAAATAGAGGGGGGAAAAAAAAGAAAAATATGAAAATTTTAATTTTAAATAAAATAGAAATTATAGTTATGCCAATTTTCTTTGGTATATGTTTGATTTATATATTATTTACTTTACTTTTTTTTGCAATATATTTGATTTGCAAGAGTGTGGCTGGTAAGGACATCATTTATATCAACTTTATTTAACTAAATCATTAAAAAAGTACAATATTTTAAAATTATTGACTTAGAATATTGCACCTATATAATAAAATTCTTAATTGAATATGTTAATATAATTTTGTAATAAAGATCGAGAATCATATCACCTACATAAAAGATATTTAAACAATATTGGTTAATAAAATTTAAAATTTATGATTTAATATAGAATTAATTGATAAATTTGAACGCTATTGTACACGACAACAAATCTAGAAAATTTACTGGGTAATCCATAATTGGGTTTTAAATTTAAAAGTCAAATAAGTAATTATTCATAACTTACAGATCAATATTAACTTGGATGTAAGTGAAATAGTAAATTATTTATAGTTTAATAAATTAGTTAACTACTTAAATTTTTTAATTTGGATTGTTTATACAAAAATATATTCATTTTACTTAATGGAACAATATAAGTTTCCTAATTGTACTTATTATTCTCATAGATGTTTAAATATATGATAAATTTTACCTAAATAATTATTTTATGAAATCACATTGTAGTCAAATCAAATTTATGAATACAAACTTTATAATGACACTTATTTTGAAATGAATAAAATGTAATTTATTATCAATTACGTGCACCATACAAGTTGTGTACTAATTTTAAATAGACATATTATATAATTTTGCATAATTTAAATTCATATAACATTTCAATAAATTAATATAGGTAAATTGTATTATATATCTATTTCATATTTAAATTTATAAATATTATTTAATAAAAAATTTAAATTTATAAATATAAATGAATATTTTTCGCACGAGATTCCTACTAGTTTTTCTAAAAATAGTCCAAAAAATACATTTTTTGATTCCCAAACACAGCCTTAAAATCACATTCCCAATCGCCACTGCGTCCGTCTATATATATTCCCCAACAGAGTTTTCACCGGAATTTCGCTCCGTCCGCCACAATCCCTCTCTCTAACAACTTTCTCTCTCTTCAGCAATGGCGCCGTCACCTCTAACCATCGCCGCTCTCCTATTAGCTGCCGCTTTTTTCCTAATCTCACCGTCACACTCCGCCACCTGCCCCTCACAGACCCTAACCAACCGCCGCGCCTACAACCTCTGCATCGACCTCTCGACCCTTGGCTCCTACCTCCGATGGACCTTCGACCGGCCCACCTCCACCCTCGCCGTCGCCTTCGTCTCCCCGGCCGAACCGGGCGGGTGGATTTCGTGGGCCCTCAACCCGACCGGCACCGGCATGGCCGGCTCGCAGGCCCTCGTCGCGTTCCGGGACCCCTCCGGCCGGATGGTGGTCCATACCTACAACATCACCGGCTACGCCCTGCCGGCGAACTCCACGGTCTGGTTCCGGGTGCTGAACTCGTCAGCTGAATTCTCCGACGGGCAAATGAGGCTGTCCGCCGCCATGGTCCTGCCGGAGGGGGCTCCGACCTCGCTGAACCACATCTGGCAGGTGGGTCCCGCCGTCGCAGGCGGTGTGCCGGTCAGGCACGAGTTTCAGCCGGCGAATCTGAACGCCAAGGGAAGACTCGATTTGCTGAGGGGAGAGAGTGGAGAGACCACCAGTCCCACCGGCGGCGACTCCAGAACCAGGAAGAGAAATGTAAGTTTCCCTAATTTATTTATTGAATATTTATTTAATTTATTTTTCGTATAGCTGTTGATAATATACTGTTCTGTTTCTTATTGAAGAGGAACTTCTATCTAGCCAAGGAGAAAAAAAGTAAAAATGAAGCAGTTACAAAAAAATTGTGGGCTTGTGTCGAAATTTTATCCTACATTGAAATAAATTGTTCGGCTAACTAATTCGAAAATAGTCGAACACTGAACTGTACACTGAACTGATCGGTTTTGTCGAAAATTTAGCCTACATTGAAATATATTTTTCAGCTGACGAATTTGAAAATATTCGAACACTGAACTTCTTGGTTTTGGTTTTCAGATTCATGGAGTGCTAAACATCGTTAGCTGGGGGATTATGTTTCCAGTTGGGATCATAATCGCACGATACCTTAAGGTATTCCGATCAGCCGACCCAGCTTGGTTTTATTTGCACGTTTTCTGTCAAATTTCCAGCTATGCCATTGGAGTTTCCGGCTGGAGCACCGGCCTTAAACTCGGAAGTGAGTCACATGGTATTACGTACACAACTCACCGTAATATCGGGATTACACTCTTTGTTATAGCAACCGTGCAGGTATATCTCGCCATTTGATTGTTATTTTTTTTTTTTAAGATTTCTTGATATAGTTTATGAGATGGTTTGAAAGTGAGTTGGTTGAACTTTGAAGTGTTTTGGATAGAGTTAAGAGGAAGGAGCTTTTAGGGTGTTAGTTTCTGCAGCTTTGTGCTAAAAAAAATTTAAACTGGTCGATTTTGTGGAAAAAGTGCAAGCTTAGCCGAATACAATCTTGGAGTCTTGAAAGCTGTTTTTTTCTGTTGCTTTTAATTGAATCATTTCAATATAGAATGACGATTAGAGATTAATTTAACTCTAAGCCCATTTTATTTCTGAATTTGGTTTGAAAATGAGTTGTTTGAAGTGTTTGGATAGAACTACGAGGAAGGAGCTTTTAAGGTGTTCGTTTCGGCAGCTTTGTGCTAAAAAAACTTCAAGAAAAAATGAACGGGTCGATTTTGTGAAAAAAATTACAAGCTCAGTTGAATACAATCTCGGGTTCTTGAAGGCTATGTTTGTTCGGTTGCTTTTAATTGAATCATTTGAATATAGAATGACGATTAGAGATCATTTTAACTCTAAGCCCATTTTATTTCTGAATATGGTGGTCCCATTTTTGCTAATATGTGGTTGTTTTGTTCTATGTTTGGCATCATCATACATAGATATTTGCCTTGCTGTTGAGACCCAACAAAGAACACAAAATTCGATTTTATTGGAATATCTACCACCACGGGATAGGATATACAATTCTAATCCTTGGAGTCATCAATGTGTTCAAAGGTCTCGGCATTTTACAGCCCGAGAACAAGTGGAGAACTGCGTATATTGTCTTGATCTCGGTTTTGGGGGGTATTTTTGTATTTTTGGAGGCGATCACTTGGGTTTTCGTTCTAAGGAGGAAAAAATCCGATCAGTCGAACAAGCCCCAGTGATTGATATATTATTGAACATCCAATTATCTTATGTGATGTAATGTGTGGTATTATCGTTCGATTAAAGTAACGTTTTTTAGTTGTTCGATCGGTGTATATTAATATGGAATGGGATTGCTCTTCTTTTTATTACTTTTCTTTTTGTAGTTTGTTTTCCATTGCAGCAATATATGGGTATTATTAATTCATATGGTACTATGAATGGTCCTGCAGTATGTGAAAATTTGATCTCTCACTTTGCAGATGCTTATTAAAGCATTTTTTTGTTATTTTTTTCTTTCTACCTTTTTCATGGAAGATTGATATGAGATTTTGTGTGCAAGTCTTTGTGCAGGCATTAGGCACATGATGGCTAATAATGTCTTATGGCTCAAGTAATTAGAGACACATTATCAGGATGAAGCTAGTGTGCTATTTCTTCACTCACCTCTTTTTTGGGTTAATTGTTTGGCAAAAAAAAAATATGATAATTGTTTTCGTTTCCCTCTATTTTTCATTACATTAGTCAAGTAATAATATTTTTATATTTATTTTATTACATAATAGCTACTATTAATTTGTCATAAAGTCAATTAATGATATTCTGTTCTTTTTTTAAAAAAATATATTTATTTAAAATTATTAGTTTTTTTATTCAACTCATTAAGTAAGTTTTTTGTACTATTATTAAAATTAGTACTTATTTTTTTATGGCATAATCAAAACCTTAAAATCCGTACACCATTGCTATAATAAATAATTAAATATTGTTTGATCATAATAATTAGTCCTATAATAAAAAATTAAATATTGTTTGATCATAATAATTAGTCATAATCAGTTGAGATTGCAAAAAATTATACTATAAATAAATACTAATATGTAAGTTTTATATTTATATCTTTTATTTTTATTAATGATAAAATTTATAAATTCTAATATACTCATTATCTAATTTATGATTTTAGACAAAGCCGGCTCTTGGGGCAAGCAATAGAGGCAGCTGCCTAGGGCCTCCATTTTGGGAGGCCTCACAATTTTTATTTTATTTTATTTTTTTTAATTGTAGGTATTTGGTTGGGCTTGGCCCATTTACATAATTTTTGAAGTTAATTAAGAGTTTGAGATATTAAAATATTTGTGGTTCCTCTTCTCACCTTCAAGTTTCATCCAAGAGGATAATAAAATACATTAAGGAGCATATTAATTCTTGATTCAAATCACTAATATTTGGAGCATACTATTACTAACTTAGCGTATTACATTTAGAAATTTCAAGATTTTGATTTGATTTTTTTTTTTTTGTACTAATTATATTTTAAATATTTATGTTCTTATAATTTATACTTTTATTAATTATTAGTGTTATTACACTTATTAATATATTATTCTACGATTAGATTTTTTATGTGAGTTATGACGGGCAAACGCAAATTCGATTCTAGATGTTCGAAAAGGAAAAGAAAGAAAAATAAGAGATACTTACAAAGTCTCTCGCCATGTATGGATAAGTACGTAAAACCTAGTACTTCTATAGTAGAAGTTAAAGTGTTCGATCCTATTGAAATTGTGCAGGAAGTACCTTATACATCCCTACTTGAAATTGATCGATATTTAACCTATCAGATTTATTTAGATAATAATGATAGATAGGTTTAAGTTTTTAAGAAGAACATAATAAGCAAGACAATGTATATGATATCGAAAATATGAATGATAACCTAGATATTAGTTGTGACAATTTGGATGACTTGTTCGATTCTAGATATTGGGAGGATAATATGCCCCCTAAACTTATTGTTTTTAGTCGATAAATGGTGATTAGAGTTACTAATGTCGTGTATCATGTTAACGATAAAGGTAGAAGTTACAATGATAAACTCTACAAACGATCTTTGCCGAATGTGGAAAACCAAATAAGATTGAAACTTGATTATAGTGACTTGATCGAAAATTTTTGCACAAAAGAGCACGAGAAGATTGTAATATTTTGTTATTTTAGTTTACTTTTATTTCTCATATTCATTGTATTTTTGTGTTTATTATTTAATATGTTTAATATTATTTGTTCAATTAAAAAAATTAAAATATAGAAATACAATTGCGGGCCACTTTTAAAAATTTGTCGAAATTTGTCTGGGGCCTCCAAAATTCTGGAAATGGCCCTGATTTTAGATATACTACACGCATATAACATGTAAAATAATTTATTTATATTTGTGTATAAGCACATGATCGCATCAAATTTTGGCAAATGTGTAGTAATAATGAATGATTGTTCATTAGTATCTGATATTTAAAATATTCAACACTTCATAATCCACTAGTACGTATCCCGTACGATGCACGGGACAATAATTATAAATTGTATGTATTAAAGCAACAAAAGAATATTGATTAGTATAAAAATAGTTTTGAATATTAATATTTTTCCTTTTTATTTTATGTATATAATAATTTAATATATGATTTATATGTTTATAAAATAGCTGTCATTTAGAGTTGTTGTTTAGAATTAAGGGTAATGACAATATAACATATTCAAATATTATCAATAAATAATACGCACAAAATACTTATCTCTCTATATCCCCTTACTAATACACGTTTTTACAATATTTATATTTCAAAATAAGGTATGCTAAAATTAAAAAAATATGCAAATATTAAACCAACAATTAATTGAAAAGACTGGAATATATATTATTTTGAAGTTAAAAATTTAATAATTTTTATTTACATCAATATTATTTTATTTTATTTTATTTTTTATAATTTATAATGATGTATATTATAAGTATTTTAAATTTTCTTTCTAATCTAATTTATATATGACTGTTCCACACCGACTAATTCATCATTATAATCAATAACAATATACATTATAAATATTTTTTTTTCTAAGTTAACAATTTAATTACATCATTGTTCGATAGATCACTTGTTGGTTTATCACTATAATTTATAACAATATACATTGCAAAATTTTTGTTTTTTTCCTAAGTTAATGGATAGTTCGACAAAAGATCGGTTGGTTTGTTATCATAATTTGTAACAATACATATTTTAAATATTTAGATTTTTTTTTTTTAATAATAATTTTCATGTCAGGTCGACATAATTGATTTCAAGGCAAAAATTCAATTTTAGTCTGCTAATTTGTCCATTGTCCACTTTTGGTACACTATCTTTCCCCTCATAAAAAATGGTCCATTATGTTACACTTTTCATCAGTTTTTAATCCCGTGGCCCGGGATTACGAGATGCCAAATCAGATTTTTATCCTACCACGTCAATATCTTATCCCTCCACGTAGTTCCAATCCTGGTTCACGTCATCTTGTAATCTCGCCAACTGGAGTAGCGTACTAAAATTGATGAAATATGTAACATAATGGACCATTTTTTATGAGGGGAAAGATAGTGTACCAAAAGTGGACAATGGACAAATTAGCAGACCAAAATTGGATTTTTGCCTTGATTTTAACTTTTATTTTGTAGTTATATTTGTAATTTTCTCATGCATATTCAAATAATATTTTTCTACAACCAAGACTTATTTAATAGTCGCTTTTTTAAAGATATGTTGTAGAAAATTACGGTATATGGTCGGTTACCAAAATAATATGAAATTACAATGATTCATAATTAATAAAAAGAATCGAATTTTATTACGATAATTATCAAAAAATAATGTTCAAATTTCCTACCACTTTATTTATATAGAAATTTGTTCCATTAACAGAATTACACAGAAGCTTTTCAAAATCCACGGAGACGAGATCAAAACTACCCGAACTTACACTTTACGGGATCATTTTCGACCCTGAGAACATATTTGCAACAGGTAGGTATAATTTTCTTTTTAACAAATATATTAAAGTTATTTTTACTATATTTCCTTTGATATTAAGTCAACTAATTTAATTACATAGTCAAAGATACTATTTTAGATTATTCCAATAACTTAATTTTATCAATAAATACAGATATAGATGATAAAGAGGCTATGAATTTGCTTGAGGTTATCTATTTATCTAAGTATGAGCTTCTATAATGCTTGTAGTAATAATTAATGATTGTTCCAATAATATCACTTATTCTTATACAAGTCACCCTAATTGTTATATATGTTAAAGACAGACATAACCATTAGATAATCATACATTTTCAACATATAAATACTTTATACTGAATAAAAACAACACAAAACATATCATTTTACAATATAAGTATAAGAATTTGTTTGATAAATATGAAGGGTGGACAAGTCTATACGAAACCCACTCACTATAGAAATTTGTGTGAACCCATTACACTTGTCCATCCCTTATTCTCATTTTCCTTTTACTTTCAACTCTTTGGCATTTACAAGTTTCAATGATTAATAGATTTTTTGCTAGTGCAAACTTTTTAATTCGGTTAAAACTTAAGATTGAGGAAGTATATATACTTTTAAGTGGCACACAAAGAGAGAAAGAAATTAATTTATTCTGAGTTTAGAAGTGTAGAATCTAAAGTCTTTGGTCCCCCCATTATCATTGTATTATGTTAGTTTTGCTCACACACCACTTATTACTTATAAATTTACATCTTTTTCATCATGCCCATAACCTTTTTTGCCTCCATTTTCTATCTGTAGTGATCCTTTTTGAAATATTACGTGCTTTTTCCTAAAACACAGTTGGTAGATTGTCTTCTCAAGAACGGGAACACGCGCATTCTTTTCA